GTTGGGTACTTGGATTTGCTGAAGATGACTTTTTATTTTCTATGGTTTATGGCTGGGTAAACCATCTATAAATGGTTAATCCATGGTTGATATATGGATAATCTTGGCCATATTGGCCATATTGGCCAATGGAGTCCTCATGGACGGCTAATCTTGTGATTGATCACCATCCCCAAAAATACAATCCCTCAAAAGCTATATCAACATTACGGGCCTTCCCAGAGCTGTGTTTCAAACGAACATTGAAGAGAAACAGCGTGACATGAAGTCATGCAAAGTGTAGCTTCAGCAGCGTGCTGGGGAAACATTGTTGTGTGGAGCTTACTGGGACCGCTGGGGACTGAGCGTACTGAGTGATTCAGACGCGCCAGCTCTGAGCTTGCTCACATGGCAGGTGAGAAGCTCTGAAGCGACCACGTGTTTAACAGGTTTCATCAATTTCTGTGAGACCTTCCAAGAGCTCTGCTTCAATCCAACCTTCAAGGAGGTCCAGCGTGACGTGAAGTCCACAGGTCTGTGCGAATGTTGGGGAAACACATATGTCTGGTAGAGAAAGTGCTTGAAAGAATAAACGTGGCTCTCTACACAGTTCTGTTTGCTAGCTACGCCATGAGTGCGTAATGGAGTGATCCTTGACAACGTTGCGAACCCGTTGGAGCTAAAAACTCTGGTGTCACCAACTGATGTATGACACATTGATTTGTGGATTGACTTGTTACGGATGTCGGATGTCTGTAAAAACGTGATACCTGACATCTTCCCAGATGTATGCACAGAGGCATACATAAATCTGTGAGCTATAGGTTATGTATCCCTTCACATTGTTTCGCGGGTGGTTTGGAAAACTTTTCTCACCATGCAGTTTTTAGTGACGCCTTGACGCTTTGAAGTTTCATTGGAATTAGAAGCTGGAGGTTGTATCCGTGCCAGCCAGCATGCAAATACTTTGTGGCAGATCCGTTTTGCGCGAGCCATGTCACTACTTGGTGGCTGCTATTTTTTTCTGAGGAAGTAAGAGCAAAAGTTCCCTTGTGAGATGTCCATGTGGATTTCGATTACGCAAACTCGCAGAAGATGTGGGTACCACATTAATCATGCTGAAAAGTCTAGCTTTACCGGAGTGCGGTGCGCGTTTTTTGAGCTATTATATGTCATGTCTCTTTAAGAGGTTCTTGCAAGAAGATCTTGAAGATGTCCTCCCTTGGAGGTGGTTGTTTGAAAGCTTTTGTGGGCGTTAGCGTAGTACGTTTTTTGATAGATTGCAATGTTCTGTATCAGAGGGCTTGTTGATTTATTTCTGGAGTACGCAGGGTGTAGCTTTGGGAAATCTGAACCGTTTCAGACGCGGCACCGATAAGAGGAACATTTCGAATGGAATTTCGTTTTGTGGCAGATGGAAGCTGACAAACTTGATGCTGGGTGGGTCTTTGAGAAATCGTTCATGTCGTTGATGTCCAAACTTTGCAGCAAAATAAATGCAGCATGATGTTAAAACTGGTTTGTGGCAGGCTTCAAATTTTGATGGGTTGCAAAAACATGTTTTTTTGAAAATGGCAGGTGCAAGGTTTGACAAACCACTGTTGCAACTTGATACTGTTGAGTTGGAAGGTTTTTTTTAAAAAAAATGGTTTGTGGTAGGCGCAGAGTTTGACAAACTACTGTCGCAACTTGACATTTGGTTGGTAATTCTGCCGGAAAATGGATTGTAGCAGGCGGAGAGTTTGACAAACCACTGTGACCACTTGATGTTGCGGGGGTGGAAGACAAGCGCAAGGTTTAACAAATCACTGTCTCAACTCGACGTTGGGTCGGTTTTTTGGGGTTGGGGGCAAGCGCAGGGTTTGACAAAACACTGCTGCATTTTTTTCAAGACAAAACAGGTCCGGAGATTTTAACTTATAGTTTATCTATTGCTGGAAAGCAGCAGGCCAGTCATTGAGACGGAACTACCGTGGCAGAAGTAATGTTTGGTTGCACGAAATAGCTGTGTGAAAACTTAGAGTTGGCATTAGGGAACGCTCAAACGCTACACAATGGCAGAATTAAAGAAATAACCTAGTGAAATATCCCTTTATTTTAAGTAGTGTAGCGTTAGGTTCGCGCCGCGCGCAGAGACGAAGGTTTTGCTAAAGGAAAAATCACAAAAAAAACATCAGTAATTGGTTCAGATCCAAATTTTGAAACCAAGCAACTTTCAAGCCAAACAGTTGTAATTCTGACCAGCTCGTTGCCACGCAGATTCACAGAGATTTCTGAAAGAAATAATCCTGCGAAGTCATCTTCAAAGTGACAGGTTGGCTCAAATTTCAGAATTAGTTGCGATTCAGCGCGCTGATATAACTTTATTTGTTCTCCAACTGAAAAGAAAATGAGAGCAGCTTCTAGTTGACCCCTCTGTCTTGCCTCTTGACGCTATCTGTCCACGCGTTCCTCCCTGCGCTCTGTGCATTCGGGTAGTCGGTTGATGGCTTCCCTGTCTCGGGTTTTGGTTTTCACGCGTCTGCGCGTCGAGGTATTTTAGTCCTCGGTGGATGTCCGGTTTGTCTGCACGCCTTCAGTGGCGAAAGTAAGATGTGAAAAAAAAACCTGCATATGTTTCTGCGGGACAAGTTTTTGAAAAAAAATGAAAGGGTGAAAATTGAGTTTTTAGCCGTTTCGTGCGACGGCGAGACATAGGGTCTGCGTAAACATAGATTTTAACCATTCATATCCCCAATGATTTGTGCCAAAAACTGACGGGTCAAACATTTGACATGTCGCGGCGCGGCAGGTGGTGGCGGACGCATGATTTGGACGACGCGGGCAACCTCCACGAGGCAAAAAAACATGTCGAGAGACCACAGGATATTGTAGAATTCACGTTAATTAAGGTTAATTACTGTCACTTCACGTCAATTAATGTCAATTAATGATGCTGATATAATGCATGATATCCAATATAGGCTCAAATAGATGATAAACCAATATAGTTTCAATCCGGATATAATAGGGGATTTTAACATCAGATATTAGGTTTTGAATCATCACATATTTTGGGAATAATACATTTGTTTCACCATCAATCATATGGGGATATTAGCGGTGAAATGATGTTTGGCTGATGGTAAGTTTGGGGGTTATACTGGGTTATACCAAACTTATTTGTATTTGTTGGTGTTCCAATTATACAACGGCTGCAATATATTATATTGGGTATGATGGGGCTAAAACCATGGATATAACATGATATAATGGGATATCATGGAGATAGTGGGAATATTGTAAACAATAACATGTAATGGGATATATTTTTTTCATAGTTGTTTTGGTGAGTATATATATATATATCCAATATATTGGGGATTGTTTTCATCTATGAACTGGGAATGCCTGCTCATAAAAGTAGGGTAGGTTTGAATGGTGATTTAAAAATTGAACATGGACTTGAACCATCAAACATATTGGGGTGTACTGGATAGTTGATGGTCGGTTGGTTATTGAAATGGTGGTACGGCCTGCTTATACAGGGGTGTATAATATATATATATACACACACATATTCTACATAACCAGCCAGTATAGTGTCAGTATACCAACAGAACTGCCGGGGGATCCAAAGATTGGTGTTTTGTCCAGTGTCTCACAGTGATCATAACTCAATTGTGGTGGCCATATAGTGTTGTGATGGTGATAGACAGCTGGACATTGGTGTACTCGGTTTAAGCGGACATACCTACTCTAGTAAACCAAGATAGATATGGAAAATGCATAAAAATCCTGCATTTCTAACGGCAATCCATGAGTGTTCCATAGATTTTTGACGACGTGAACCGCGACGGGTGTTCCATGGCAGGGTAAGCCTTGACTCGGAATCGATCAATCCAATGTCGAAAAATCCCAATGATTATCCCAGTTAAATGTGGTTAAACCATACTAACCTACCATTTTGTAAGTTTATCTCCATGAAAACCATATGAGTAACCGACAAAATTATTGTAATACTGTAATACTAATTTAGTTTTGCTTCGCCTTGGCCTTTCCGAGGTTGCACAAAACTTTCATAACCGATACCAATACCCCATTTGTGATACCTGGAGGAATACTGAAATCCTCACAACGGATACTGGACAACCCTAAGTTGTGCATGGCATTAAATTTAAGATATTATTTTGTCCTCTACTCATATGTGTTTTGCAAGTATTGTACACAAATTCATGTGCAGATTCTGTAACTCCTAGCATTCTGTATCCATTTTGTAAGTTTATCTCCATGAAAACCATCTAAATCCCATGCGATGACGATGCAAACGATGAATTTCCCTGGTGCGAAAAAGGCGGATGAAACGCTCCAATGGGCCATGTATGCTGAGGTGCCGGAGCTGCTGGAGATGGCCCATTTCGTAGATTTAGCTATTGGAAACAGCATTAAGGTACAAATTAACCATGGTTACTTTTTGGTTATGTCAAAATAGCTATTGAAAATGGCCATAGAAATAGTTGATTTTCCCATGTGTCATAGTTTTTTGTATGTTTACCAAAGGGTAATGGTGTTGTTTTTAATGTGTTGGTTTGAAAATATGATTGAAAACTGGTTTGTTGATGTAACTGAATAGTTTTAAAATGTGTTTAATGTGTTGTCAATGGGATTTTCAGTGATATGAATGTCATATTTATGTACATCGCCCAGCTAAAAATCAACAGCCGCAACATGCCGCCATGTGTTCGCGTGCGCAATCAAATTTGCCATTGGAGTCGCAGATACGTGTTCGAAATGATTCGAACATGCAATCTCCATAGGGGTTTGTCTGAAAATTCGGAATACCCCCAAACAATACTATGAATGTGGTAGACACAATAAGAAACCAACCATTCGAGGATGGTTTATACCATCCATTTAAGATGATTTGGGGATGGTTCTCTACACTAGTTTTACCACAAAAATGTTGTGGAAAATGGTGATCATCACCAGTGGATACTCCGGGGTGAGATCTCGAGTGGCCGGCAGTGTAACGGCTCAATGGCGAGAATGGTGGTATCGCGTTGGTTTCTGGTGCTGGCGTTGGCGGGGCACCTCAGAAGACAAGACTTAACCTGCAGGGATTTTTGTTCCGGAAGTACCCCGAACTGGGAATATTGTTTAAAGCAAATCCAAGACTTGGGGAAAGCTGATAACCTACATTTGACCGAAAAAAGTAAGTGAGTTATCAGAGTAGGATGTATCAGATTTGATTTGAATGATTCTGATTTGCCTAGAATTCTAGGTCAGTCTTACATGGATACTTTAATCCTAACTAGTCTTTTGGTATGAAAATGGGAATATCTACGTTCACCAGCAAAGAATTTTAGTATTTTTTGCAGGGTATCTAAGATTGGCAATGTAATGTTAATGACGCATGATAGATGATTTACCCTCTGGTAAACTAAGAGTTTGCTATAGAAAATCACCATTAGTTATGGGTAAATCAACTATTTCATAGTACGGCACATTATTTCATATTAAGGCCATCAGCAACTCTGCTTTTGCTATGGATCAACAGCAATTTGCTATGGAAAAAGAGCAGAAATCTGGACTGAGATTGTAGAAGAATCATATCTGAGTTGTTCTATATTGCATATGAACTATAGATATATATATATATGATATCTGCTGACTATGTTAGTTACTGTTAGTTGTAACCCTAACTTGGCTAAGTAATACTAAGTAACAAGCACCACATAGTAGTTACACATGAACGATCATAGTATGTAACGTTTGTATGTGATATGAGCAATGATTGCTTTAACAATCAGTCAACCCTAGCATCAAGATCCCAAACATGTTTTTCGCTGCCTAATCCACATGCGTTTTTGTTGATGGACTTTCCACAAGCTTCCCAGAAATTACACATACGCACCCCACATTGTTTATCATTTTTCCAGGTATCGAAAGATGCCTTTCCATCGGAAGAAACATTAAGAACACAATAACATTAACTTTCTAGACAATTTTATAATCTTCCCAGATATACCGTACCAAACATGCGATTGGAATAGCCATTAAAACATAACAGCCCACATACTTCGCAAAAATTCCAACCTTCTCCATTTGCCCAATACCAAATGTATCAACTATGCCAATCATAAAGTAAACATGGTTTTTCAAGTAATAAATACAATATCAATGTACCAAATAGTCAGGGCTCGTTCTGTTGGTAAAATACCATTATTATATTATTATCCGGTTCAAAGCATGAACATTGGTTTCCAGTGATTAGCCGCTAAATACGATGTTTAATTTACTATATACTGTATGAATATCAAACCACATAAGACCAAACGAAACATAAGCAAACTACTTTTAAACATCCAACAGGGGTTTTCCTCGTTGCATCCCTAATTTATCCCAATTTTAGATGCGCAATTCCCAATTTTAGGATATATTCCGGTCAAAACATAGGTTTAAATGATTGCACATATACAAAACACGTAACAACCCCATTACAATTCCTATTTATTTGCCATAATTACATGTTCCATTTTTTACAATTAGTATATTTACAGTAATAAATACATACATAAAATGTATAAATTCATCCAAATATGGTGTGTATATATATATATATATGCAACATCAAATATACCAACATCAACCATATATTTGATATCAACATGCCATATCACCATATCAGTATACCATATTACATCAATATTACATTAATTTATGACATTTATCCCACATATGTTGCTCAGCAATCCCATCAGTTTCTCAACTATATCCCCATTTTGGGTAGCAAAAATCATCAAACAAATCCCACTTAGATGGGCCATGAAGTTCGTGAACTCGTTTGCAAATGGATTACTGGTTGGTGGTTTGGAACATGAATTTTATGACTTTCCATCTGGTTGGGAATGTCATCATCCCTGACGAACTCATATTTTTCAGAGGGGTAGGTATACCACCAACCAGGATATAGTGACTAACCAGTTAGCTAATCCCATCTAAGTAGATGAATATGCTTCGTTTGGTTTTTAGCGAAGGGCTTCGTTCTGAGTGGAACCAAAAAAAAACAGGTTTGTCCAAAAATGTAGAAGACCCTAAGAATGGTAATCCTCTATGAAAATACCTGATTATTGTCCCATAATTATCTAATTATAGTGATTATCCCACCATGATCCCAGTGCTATGGTGATTATTCATGTCCCATTCGAATCCATCTAAGCAGTTTTCTTGGTTCTCCCGCATCATCCAAGAATCGAGGATACCCCAGTGCTATGGTGATCTAAGTTGGCAAACCATCTAAGGATTAACAATTCTCCATGATCATTATCCCATGATTGTCCCAAAAAATGGATTGTACAATCCATAGTATTACCATAAATCATTAATCATCAGTATCCCATATTTATCCATTTATCTCTGTTTTTTTGTGGATTATGACAATCCATAGTAGGGAAACCTATGAACCAACAAACGTATTACACGAGATTTAGATCTTCCATGAAGAAATCATAATGGGACAATTAATACAAAGTTTTGCTACATATAATCACCATAGCACATTAAAATCACCATTAATCTAAGTATAATTTCCCATATTTCCATTGATATGTCCCATTCACTATACAATTATTGATATAATCTAAGTAACTAACATGAACTATCGAAAATCACCATTTTTTTGGTAAATCCATTATTTTCATGGCCATGTTTAATAGCTGTGTTAGTTTAATGGCTATGTTCCTTTTAAGATCCCATTACTTTCCCGTTAATATACTATCTAAATCTATCTCAGTGTAATTCACCATTAATATACTATTTCCCATTGGTATGCAAATTCCCATTAGGATTACAATCGGGCATTATTACCATCTAAGTATAATCTACCATTAATATACCACTATTAGATTAATTACCATTATTAAATCAATATACTTCTAAGTCCCGTATGTAATCTAGTTTGAATTGCCATCAAAATAAACAATAAATTATTACCATGAATATATCATTATTACCATTAATATGGGATATATATATATATTTATCCCATTAGTATACTGTTCAGTCCCATCTAATACCATTTATACTGATTATTTGTATACTGAGTATATATATATATATCCCATCAGTATAAATTAATAACCATCAATATGTGATAAATATATTATACTACCATTATATTACCATATTAATGGTTATCATATATTGCCATTAGTATACTAAATTATATGTAGTATACTACCATTATAGCCATATGAATGGTATACTAATCCCATGATATCTTACCAAAACTGGTTGGTGGGTCCAAACATTTTTTATTTTCCAGAATATATGGGATAATCCTTCCCATTGACTAATATTTTTTCAGAGGGGTTGAAACCACCAATCAAAAAAAATATACCAATCAGAATGGGATTAATATACCATGATATTTTTCTATAAACCCTATATCCCAATTGTGATGAATCTCCCATTACTCCCATGTTTCGTGGCGATCTTCGGCCAGGCCTGGGCCCAAGACGATGGCACCTGCGACGCACAAAGTGGGCAGTGCACGAGCGATCCGGGCGCGCCACATGGCGGCGCCCTGGTGGTGTCTTCGGCGTCGGTTGGGCGTGGGTGAAATGTGGGTGACTCTGAATGGTGGTTTTTTGTGGCTGAAATATATGGGTAATGAATGTGCTATAACATTGAGCTGTTATTTAATGGGAAATGCCGATGAAAATGGGATTTTAATGGGAAACAAAGCGCTGAGTCCTGTCGAAGTCAAGGCCCAGACAGGCCCATTGACGTATGAGCAAGGGGTCGTTTCAGTGAGTGGTGCTCCGCTGACATGCCCTCAAATGTCGGCTATCGAGTTCGACTATACCCTCAGTCAAGGGTATGTGCCCAGTGAGGACGAAACGGCAACAGTGTCCGCTAATCACGGTGCGAGGAAAACCTGATTGGAGTACCGGCCGTACTTGGAACACTCACAGGCAGGCTCACAGCGAACTCACCTCTTCGCTATGACGCCAACACCAATTGTCAGATCGATGAAGCTGAGTTTGGGCAAGCCGTGAGGTCTTCAGATTCCAAGTCACCCACCCACCCACCCACCCACCCATTAGTGATAATTTGATATCACCATTGTAGTTGGGCATAATTCCTGATTTACATATCCAGGTGCAAAAATCTGTTGGCCATAAATATCCATCTCGGTGCTTGGTCTAGTTAACTATATGTCAACACCCTGGTGAACAGCAAAAGAGGTGGTACCCTCTGGTAAACTAACATAACTATGGAAAATCACCAATTTTTTATGGGTAAATCAATCCACTATAAATGGCCATTTTCAATAGCTATGTTAGTTTACCAGAGGGTAAACGGATGTTTATTCCCTTACCATCTGGTTATGTAACAGTTTGCCATGGAAAGATCCACCATTTTTAAGAACGCTAAACCATCTATTTCTATGGGCCATCTATACCATGGTTATGTTTGGGATAACCAGAGCGTAATATATCGATATCATAGGTTTTTGACCCATCCCCCAGTTACGTTTGCTCACCAGTCTATCGGCATCCCATCACTAGCCGTTTTCGTCGATGCAGCCGTTTTAGTGTCTCCGTGTGTGGTCCTTTTGCAGTGGTGGTGAATAAGAATTTCCATAATGGATGATGATCATCCCCAACATATTTGCTTTCACATAATGCCATATAATCATCAACCAACAGAGGCGTTTTTTCACAATGCTGATATATCAGTGTCGCCTCAAATATCTTGACCCTCAAAGTCCCTTGGTTTACAATGATAATGATGGTTCCCATGAAGATTATAATGTTTTGCTACACACCCCATTTAACTTGACAAAACAAACAATCGTCATTCCAATCATGGCTCAGCACGTAACCAAAAAACACCACCCAACCATGGGTTCTAAACAACCAGGAATTGGTTTCGTCATAATCGACCTAAAATTCGAAATATCATTCCTGTCATTATCCTTATCGGTCAAAAACCATTGTACCTCATGAACACAAACAACTTCAGATAAAAGTTGTTGTTTTATATCCAATTCTACCTCAATCAAACCATATAAAATCCATACCCAATTCACTCCCCAATTTCTGACAAGGTAAGGACATCTCTTTCCATGCTTGTAATCCCAAAGTCTGTTAACATTACATAAAATTTAGGACAAAAAAACAACTAGCAAACTCCATTCACACCAAGTATAAAACACTGTAAAATTCTTTGAACACAGCTACGAACCATACATAAAACCACATCAATCCATTAAATATCTATCTTAAAACTTCATTTACCCTCTGGTAACATTAAAAAAACTATGGAAAATCACAATTTTTAATGGGTAAATCAACATCCATTTTTCAACCACATCAATCATATCAATAAGCCACCTAAAAGTCACCTTTCAAAAACCAAACCATATTAAAACCATACAGGATGCCCCCCCAGTTAGAAGTTGGTTTATAACCCCACCTAAATATAGTTATAGATATCATACATTATTGTTATTATAGTTATAAACCAACTTAGCCAACGAACTCGGCCCCATCCTGTAGTCCTAAGTTCACCTTTCAAAGTCATAAAACCATTAAAACCGCTAGCCAACCATATCAATCCCCATATTTTTCACCCACTTATCTTCTGGTAAACATACAAAACACTATGGAAAATCACCATTTTTAATAGGTAAATCAACTATTTCTATGGGCCATTTTCCAGTTCGCTAACTGTTTGTTTACCTATTCGAAATGGTGATTTTTCCATAGTTTTTTTGTAGGACCAGAGGGCTGCCTTGAATTCTGCGTGCCTTCACGAAACCTTCAGAACCGATCGGGGATGACCCACTTTTGCGAAAGTGGCAATCATTTTGGGGAACACATATTTCTGTCTGCCACTCAAATACCCGGCCTGGTAAACTGTTACATAACAATGGAAAATCACCATTTTTTATTGGGTAATTCAACTATTTCTATGGCAAATTTCAATAGCTATATATGTTAAGTTACCAGAGGGTAACCAATCATGTACACTGATATCACTGATGATCATTAAACATATGTTCTTTTTTTGGCGTTGCCCGACTCGTGTTGCCCAAAAACATAGGTAACAATAGGTAACAACCACTGGCGTTGCACCCCAGAGTTGGATGGTTGAATGTTGCTGATTGGTCCATGGGTACGGGTACCATATTCTTGAGCCATACATCTCTGAATCTGAATTGGAAGGACCTCCTACTGACAGATGATTTTCATCACGGTTAGGATGAAAAAACGCAGGTCAAATAACACTGACTTAAGATACCCTAGGGTAAACTAACATAGATGTGGAAAACAGCTATTTATAGATCATATTATCAGGGAAATCATGGGTAAAACCCACATGTTTCCTCCAGGTGTTTTTCTCATTTCAGCTTGACATGTTGCGCTAGACCGACCCAGGATTTGATACTGGCGGATGACGCAGCGCTGCTGGGCAAAAATGGGTCCAAGCATTGTTTTGATGTTCCAAAAGGGAATGGTTATAAAATCAATGGGAATTTCAGGATCCTAAAATGGAGGTACTGTACCATATAAGGCCATATTTTGTGGTGATATTCCCTTACATAGGCCTAAAAAATAGGCCTTATATATGGTAGGTACCTCCAATTTAGGTTCCTGAAATGGCCATTGATAAAACATATTAAATTCAGCACTACAATTCGATGCCATTGTCCTTCTTCTTAGAACCAATCATATAAAATGCATGGACATTTAACCATGAAATGCCACTATATGATTATATGGAGGATTCCTAAAATGGGGGTACCGGGGTACCCCCAGTCATCATCCATTTATGTTGGGGATTTTCCACCTTTTCCACCATCCAGCTATTGGGATATATTTATGATGTGGAAAAGCCATGGTTAGGGGTATCCATATTTTCTCATGCTTTTCCCATAGTTTTTCCCATGGTTTTCCAATTTTCCATAGTTACCCTCTGGTTTTTTAACATAGCCATGGAAAATGGCCCGTAGAAATAGATGGTTCACCTATTGAAATTGGTGATTGTCCGTGGCAAACTGTTAGTCATAACCAGATGGTATAATCTCCATTTTCCTATGGGTTTCCTATGGTTTTCCCATTAAAACATCCATTTTCACATTTTCCATAGTTAATTTACCAGAGGGTAGGAAAGCTCCTAAGATGATAAGACCTGGTATGTCCAAACCACTGGGCCACCCTTTTCAGATCTTGGGCCAGCCTTTTCTGTGGAGATATCCCAACAAAACCCGAAAAAATGGGAGATTCCATACAGGATGGGGCCCCCCAGTTGTAAGTTGGTTTATAAACCCCATTAACATCAATTTATTATAGTTATATCTACCATAAACCATAGTTAAGCCACTTATAAGGCAACTTAGCTATCTTGGGGGCCCCATCCTGTAGTCATGGGGCTATTCCCACAGCTGGATTGTTTATTTCATGGAAAATCCGAAACACAAATGGATGATGATAGGAAGTACCCCTATTTCAGGAAACTCCCAATTGACCGCAGTTATGAACCAACTTACCGGTCTATTTTTGTGTTGCTTTCCTGTCCCATGAACACACCAGGGTTTGCCCAGCATGGCACTCTTTTTGATAGAATTATGTGAAGCTTCCGTGTTTGGACTTACGATTATGTTCGAAGAAGAGAGGGAAATAGCGATAATAAGTCATCCATAGCCATCCCATTATCTAACCATGCTGGTTGGTAGTTTCTAACCAATAGTGGTTAATAGTGGTTAATAGTGGTTAATAATGGTTAATGAGATATCTGGTTGGTAGTTTGGAACATTTGGATTATGACTTTCCCATCATATTGGGAATGGAAAATCATCGCAACTGACGAACTCACTCCATCATTTTTCAGAGGGGTAGGTGGCTCAATCACCAACCAGCCAATGTTTTAACCAGTGATTAACCATCTTCACCACTATTAATCCCAACTGACTCCATCATTTTTCAGAGGGGTTCCCAGCTCAACCACCAACCAGCCAATGTTTTAACCAATGATTAACCATCATTAACCACTATTATACCCAACTGACTCCAATCTTTTTCAGAGGGGTTCCCACTCACAGCACCAACCAGCCTGTTTTAAAAACCATTGATTACCATCTTCACCACTATTAAATCCCAACTGACTCCATCATTTTTTCAGAGGGGTCCCAGCTCCAAAACACCATCCATGCCCAATGTTTTAACCAGTGATTAACCATCTTCATTCCACACCACTATTAATTAATCCGCAATACCCATCATTTTTCAGAGGGGTAGGTGGCTCAATCACCAACCAGCCAATGTTTTAACCAGTGATTAACCATCTTCACCACTATTAATCCCAACTGACTCCATCATTTTTCAGAGGGGTTCCCAGCTCAACCACCAACCAGCCAATGTTTTAACCAATGATTAACCATCATTAACCATCATTAACCATTATTAACCAATATTAACCATTACTAATCACCATTTTCCTATGGTTTTCCTATGGTTTTCCAAGGAATCCCATAGGATATTTCACCATCCATTTATCTAACCGTCTGACGCCATGGGATCAGAGATCTCAACGCCATTCCAGACGGTGAATCCATGGCAGCGACGCCAGCATTGGGGACGGTTTTTCCACGTTCAGCATGAAAATTGCCTTCTTTCCACGTTTAATGGGATTTGAATGGGCTTTTCTTCATTAGCTGAATGAATGGTTTAAGGGAACATGGTAATTTCAATTTATGAACATGGAGTTTCATGAAATTCAATGGGATTATCTATATCATTGGATTGGTTTAAGGGAAAATCTGCAGGAAAGCCCCATATGAATAATGGGAAAATCTATGGTTTCCTGTAAATTGTCCCTTAAACCAATCCAATCAAATAAGCATTCAAGAAGCCTTGAGTAACCATCCATAAGCATCATAAGCATCAGTATAAATCTATCTAAGCATCAGTAAAAATCTAGTTGGTGGTTTGGAATTTTGTTTCCGTCTATTGGGAATGGAAAATCAAAATCATCCCAACTGACAAAGTCATATGTTTCAGGGGGGTAGGCTCAACCACCAACCAGCCATAATTAACCAATGATTAACCATCATTAAGCACTATTAACCATTATTAACCACTATTAACCATTATTAACCATAATATTGTTTAAACCACATTAAAGATAATTTGATATATTTCACCAGCACTGATCGGTCATGACCCAAAATTTTCGCGGAGGAAAAAGATGGTCGCCTCCAGCAATGCCAAGTTGGAGTTGTCTGAGCGTCAGGCGTACAGTTTCCAGCGCGGCTTCACAAATTTCTTATGGTTCAAATTTACGTGAATTATTGGTTATTTAATGTTATTAATGGTGATCATAGGCTTGTGTTACCCTCATTATCAATTAGTTAGAAATTCCAATATCATATACAGTAACTCCCATATGCTCCATGTATGGTATATTTACCTACAAAACTGGGTGATTTTGTTCGGGCAAATGTTGGTAAATATTCCATACATGGAGCATATGGGAAATCGTTCATGGTTCATGTTTACGTGAATTATTGGCTATTAATGTTGATTTATGCCATTAAACTAAAGGTGAAACTCATGATTATTCTTATGATGACCCTCTGATAAATTAAAAATGTTGATGACTGGGCATCGTGCGTTTATGGCATTGTTTTACACACATTAGTCATGTCTGTGGGAAGTTTAAGGGACCTCAGCAGCAACAATTTCTGGTTGGTGGTTTGGAACATTTGTTATTTTCCATTTCATATATGGGATGTCATCCTTCCCATTAACTTTCACTCCATCATTTTTCAGAGGGGTTGGTTGAAACCACCAGCCAGAAATGATATATTAATGATATATTAGTCCATGTATGGAATATCAATATCTATGGTATATCTATTGCTGGTTGGTGGTTTCAAAGATTTGGATTATTTTCCATCATATATTAGGGACGTCATCCTTCCCATTGACGAAATCATATTTCCCATATATTAATGATAAAACCAGGATGATATATTAAATCATATAGTCCATGTATGGAATAATTCTTTCCAGATGATCATTAATATATCATGAATATATCGTTAATGATCATTAATGATTGTTTCAAGATGATTAAAACCAGCAACCAGATTTCTTCTGTGGTTCCAATGGTTTCCCATGGTTGATCCTTTGATTCGCCATGGTGTAGATCATGTCATCTTCTCATCTAACCCAACTCATATGGTGTCGGAAAAAACCATGCTGTTGCCTTTTTTAAATGTTTTTGTTATAAAAAATCAGGTAAATGACAAATATCTATCTAAAATCATGACACTAATATCTATTGTGTCAGGTCCTAAAATGTTTTTTTTGATCAGGAAAACCATGACAAGATATGACCAGAAAGATGTTGCAATATGTTCCTGACAAGGTGGGACCTCAGTTGCAAGAGTTGCTTAAACCTCATGAATACTGACTACCATACAACAGTTGTTAACACTTAACTATAACTATAGTTATAATTAACTATAGAATCTATACTATAGACTAATACTAAACATAGTTATATTCCCCGTAAACATCTGTAAACCTAACAGTTGACCAAGGCAAATGTGCGTCACTGGCTCGCGTTTTCGCGTTTCCACGGGGTTGCTGCTGTGAGGCCTGCGATGTGTCACTGCTCATCAACGGCGGTCACTGGGATGGCGGTTTATGTGTCAGGCTGGTGATGTCCTAAGTCATAGTGGCACCTCTAGTTATCATCCATTTATAGATGGGACTTTCCATTAAACCATCCATCAAATCGACAAATCGCACCTGTTGTTCGAACCTATTTTCCATTTTAACCATCGAATCTTTCTGGATGGTTTATTTCATGGAACCTATTTTTCCGAAATGGGGGTAGCAGCATTTCGGAAGCCTCATTTCATGGTGGATGGATCATGGGGGTTAATCCCGGTGATTCCAAAGACCCCATGTTTTTTTTTGGGGAATCATCGGGAAAAACCGAAAATTTCAGGGGGAAATATGAGTGGTTGGTGCTTTGGAACCATGGAATTTTATGGCTTTCCATTCAGTTGGTTTAGTATGGTTTAATAATGGTTAATCAGATATGCTGGTTGGTGGTTTGGAACATGAATTTTATGACTTTCCATATATGGGGGATAAGTCATCATCCCAACTGACGAACTCACTCCATCATTTTTCAGAGGGGTTGGTGGTTCAACCACCAACCAGCCTATGTTTTAACCAATGATTAACCATCATTAACCACTATTAACCATTATTAACCATTATTAACAATTAACCATAATATTGTTTTAACCACATTAAGGATAATTTACTCAGATTCATTCTACTTGTCCTGACAAACTAAGGGATTGTGGCAAATGAATCCCATATTTCCCATGTTATACCATGTTATCCCAAATGCACACCTGGCGATTCAAGATATTCATTTTGGGGAAGCGTATGGTTTCAAGTACAGTATACACCACAACGGATCTCACCACTATATACATTCTCGTTAGCCAGCACTACAATGATGGCCATGAGAGAATCCTATCCCCCTAATATTTCATACCAATGGTTGGGACTCCAAAATAAGTAGATTAGATCTAATACTAAACACCATGATTTTCCAGGGAGAATTTCCATGGTTGGGCCATGTTTTTGGTTGAGTGGTTCCCGTGGTTCCCACAGAAACCTCGCGCCGGCCGCGAGGTTTCTCACCTTTGAAAGGCTTCATGAAGAAAGCCGACTATGAGTCGGTCGTTGCTTGGACGCCGCGAACCCGGCGTCCACCCGATACAATGTACACAGTTCTATGACATTCTATGAGACTGTAATAACCTTTAATATGTGTATTTCTATTCATAGATGTCTATAGCTAGACGCTTGCGGAAAACACATAATGTTATATTATATTATATTATATTATAGTAGATTATATTATATTATATTTATATTATATTGCATTATACTATAGTTATATGCTAGTTTTATGATATTGTATGGTGTTATATGATATTATATGATATGATATTACTGTATGTTATATTACAATATTATAATATAATATATTATATATAATATATTACTGTATATCATGTTATATGATATTATATGATTTTAAATCATATTATATCATATTATAGATTATAAATAATACATTGGATATATAATAACATTACCTCGAGTGATATTCTGACATCCGCACATTCTATCTGACATCTATTCTGGCATTCTATCTGGCATCTAGTCTGGCATTCTTTGTGGTCGAGGTCCGACTGGGAACACTCTGCTCCTGAGCTTGCTGTTGGGGTCCGGCGAGGAACACTGCGATCTAGCGCTTGCAGTTGAAGTCCGGCGGGGATCACTCCGCTTCTGAACTTGCTGTTCGGGTCGCGCGGGGAACACTGCGATCTAGCGCTTGCAGGTGAGGTCCGGCGGGGATCAGTATGCTCCTGAGCGTGCTGTTCAGGTCCGGCGGGGAACACTGCGATCTAGCGAATGCAGTTGAGGTCCAATGGAGAAGGAGGAGGAGGAGGAGACGGGACAGCTGACATAAAATCTAACAACCCTCACCTGACAGGTGGGGAACAACACATTCACACTGATTCGTTTGCAAGGCAATTTAGATCTATGGTTGCATTGTAGTTGTACACTGTTATACAATGGTATACACCTGTGTAGAAATTGTGTGAAATAAGTAAGCTTTTGTTGACACATGTATAGATCCTTTTTTTGCAAGCTTTGTTAGGATAGCGTCGGAGGAATACTGGCAAGGGCCTCTGCTGGACATGAATCCCACTTTTCGTGACAATTGGATTCGTTGGAGTCTCTGGGAAGCAAGTGCATATTTGAAGTTCTCCTCCTATGAATTCACCAGAAAATGGAGGGACCTCTCGGAGAACCAACGGTATATCTTCTACGATGTTCATGGGGCTGTTCAACATCTCCAAGACAGTGGATATGCAATAGATGACTTTATGTTACACATCTTCGAGAAGAATAATGGTCATCGGATGCATATGATTCAACGGAACAAAGCCTTATTGTGGTTCCTCATTGCCTCTAATCAGAAACTGGTTCACAAGGATCTGTCTCTGCGGAACCAGAAAATGGTAGAAGACAATCTGTCAAAACACTATCCGTGCTCAAAAATCCCAGTGGGCTCCTCGTGCAGCATGGCACACCTCGTCCATGGATTGATTGAGATTTGCAGATGGCGCTTGCCATTTCCCTGGGTCCACACTGCAGCAATTGTGATTGTTGGCATGGTAACGGTCCACCTGGGTATCCTCTACTCGGAGACCCACTGGGCCCTTTCTGTGCATCACAAAGATGCTGATCATATGATGATCTATGATGGCAACAATAACGAAGACATTGCTGCCAAGGCTCTCGAATGGCCACAGTGCAGAGCCAGTATGATGAGTGGAGTTGCGGACACAGACTTTTACTGGCCGCAGATCAAGTGTTGAAAGGAGAAAATTATTTGCCTCCAGAGAGCCTGGACAAAAGTGTTTTTTTCTCAGAAGATGCTCCAGTGGCTCCAGTATGTTCTCTACGAGTTGCGGCGTGAACCCGGAAGGGTCACCTTATGGTGCCACATGGTGTGATGAGGTGGTGAATATTGGAAGTTTTTTTTTCCAATGGCCCAAAAAGAATATTCCAAATCGGTACCTCATCAATCATAACAATAAAAAATGATCATCATGAATATTGGAAGCGTTTTTTGTTCCTAGTTTCAGACAAATCCGTGGTGATTCAAAATGATCGGTAGATGAGGGGTGATATATCATCAACCACAAAACGCTTGTAGCAATATCTTTCACTGGATTGTTGATGGTTTATGGTGGAAGTCCTTTTAGCAATACCCGAAATTGTGGCACAATCCCCATGAACCAAGCGCGACAAAACCTAGCCATAAGCAACTATCCATCAATAATAAACTATATATCACAATTACATGATATTATATTGATATCATATTGATATCTCGGCATTGTGTTTCATCATACGTTTGGATTCGGATAAGTCTGTCCGCCAAGGTTTCGAACATGCGATTAGCATCGGGTCATTTGTTTGGATTGTGCCTCGGCCATCACGGGTTGTTGCTGGAAATGCTGGAAATGTGGGGAAATGTGGCACCCCTGGTCGGATAGGTTGATACCAATGGGGATAGAATGGTTGTATCATGTATACCCTCTGGTAAATAAACATAGACCCTGAAAATCACCAATTTTTAATGGAAACTAGTCTTCCAACCCCTATCTGCCAGGGTCTATGTTAATTTACCAGAGGGTAATGGGTATTACGCAGGAGGGTTCATGACCGTTTTCTTTTTGAAAAAATGATCAGGATCTGTTGTACAACGAAGGATGGTTGAGGGATAACTATCCCAAAATGACCTTACAATCTTACATTAGTTTGGTGAATTGCTATGATTTATCCATACCGTTTTTCATCATGGCCGTGGTAGTTGTTTTTTTCCCGGGGTAATGGCAACTCCAAATTCATAGATCTAAGAGTAAACCATGATTGCTGGGGTGTACGTTAAGATTACCCAACCTGGTAACTTGTTACACTTTGCGAACTGGAAAATGGCCCAGTCGAAATAGTTGGTATTTACCCAGCTACAAAATGGTGGATCTTTCCATATAAATCACCATTTCCCATGGTTTCCCATGGTTTTCCGATGGTTTTTCCCATCGTTTACCAGAGGGTAGGGATGATATCGCCAAGAACTCATCCCATCAATGCATGGTCCATGTGGGGAAATTTCATGCTTGAGAACCATGAACCGTTCTTGTACCCTCTGGTTATTTAACAGTTTGCTATTGAAAATGGCCCAGTCGAAATAGTGGATTTTCCCATTAAACATGGTGATTTTCCACCATTTTTAATAGGTAAACCTTGTGGAGTGCGTTGGCTTCTTTATTTGCCATTTCTGTAAAATCCAGAAACTATTTCTTGCACAGTTAGAAACCATTTGCTAAATTCTAGAGACCATTTGCTAAATACTAGAAACTATTTGCTAAATACTAGAAACTATTTGCTGCATACTGGAAACTATTTTGCTAAATACTGGAAACCATTTGCTAAATACTAGAAACCACTTGCTAAATACTAGAAACTATTTGCCAAATTCTGGAAACCATGTGCAAAAAACTAGAAACCATTTGCTAAATACTAGAAACCATCTGCTAAATAAGTAGGATATGTAGAAACTTTTTTCAGGTAAAGTAGAGCATGTAGAAACCATTTGCTAAATCATGCTGATTTCCCAGAAACCATTACTTGAATCAAAGGGGTAATATTTGCAAGTAAAAGTTGATATTGACCATGTTGTCAGGGCAAACCTGTTCAATCTTGGAACACGCATTTGCCAATGGTAGTTTGTGGTGAGAAAGAACTAATGTCTTTACCGCACATGCCAGTTTAATAGTACTAGAGCCTCCTTCACCCATGGCTCACCACACTGAAACTGCTGACGCTTGAAACTTGAAATCGTCTAGAATCCAATTGGGAGTACTATCGCGCCATACCAGCTGAAATGCTGTTTCAATCCAGGAAAGGGTGTGTCAAACAGCAGCATAAACACATACCCTGTCCCAGCGCAGTTTTTGCCAAATGCACCATACAACGCCGCGAATAATTCCACACGCGATACCCACAAGTTGTGGGATCAAAAAAAATGCTCCCCAAACAAAACCATGTGGCTGATAGCCTTTGCGGGTGAGTTGGGGGATGGTGTTAGCAGGCCTTTGCCACATGGCATTTTAGACACCTCAGAGGATACCCAAGTCAGGGGTTTCCCCCAAAAGTCCGGACTGGTGTGTGCCTGAACTTTTCTCTATTTGTCAAGGTCTGTCGCGGGAGCCCGGGGGGTCCGGTTTCGTCGGGAGCCTACCAGCTTAACCTTCCTAAGAGGTAAATATGAAAGGAAACTATTTCTTAAATCCCAGAAACTATTTCTTAAATCCTGGAAACTATTTCTTAAATCCCAGAAACTATTTCTTAACTCCCAGAGATTATTTCTTAAATCCCAGAAACTATTTCTTAAATCCTGGAAACTATTTCTTAAATCCTGGAAACTATTTCTTAAATATTTCTTAAATCCTAGAAACTATTTCTTAATCTGGGCCCCAAACCCAGAAACCATTTACAAAACCAGGATTGCTTTTACCAATCCCAACCATTGGACAAGGATAGCAGTCAATCACTTAAAGTCCAGAGATTGCCCCAGACAAGTGAGCCATGTTCTCACCGAGAGAGAGAGGCTGCCACGCAGGCACCCTTCATTCTGTTTCGTTCTATGTTCTTGGACTCCTCATCCTCAGAATAAGTCACTGTTTCTTTTTTACGTTTCAATCTGTATGGAGTTTCAATATGTCATATATAATGTGTCTATATGTGTCTATATTTGTCAACTTAGGTTTTATTTATCTTTATTGGTATATTGTCTTGTTTGATGATTTAAGGCAGAGTAAGGGTATCACAGAACCATTTCAAACCGTTTCCCGCTACTTGCTAGGTAATAGTCCGAAACCGTCCGAAACCGTTTCCTACTATTTGCTAATTCACCCTGGTGCAAATAGTTTCAAATAGTTTCAAATAGTTTCAAATAGTTTCTGCGAATGGCTAATTGGCAAATAGTCCGAAACCGTTTCAAACCGTTTCCCGCTACTTGCTAGGTAATAGTCCGAAACCGTTTCAAACCGTTTCAAACCAATCCCTAGAAGGCGTAACTTGAATTACTTTTTAGTTTTTTTTTATTAATGTATTTTTTGGATATTTTTCAAAAGTTTCCAAAACTTCGATTTATTTAGGAAATAGTTTCTGCAAATTGGGTTGATTTAAGAAATAGTTTCAAATAGTTTCCCAACTTAGGGTTGATTTAGGAAATAGTTTCTGTAAATTGGGTTTATTTAAGAAATAGTTTCTGGCCTCCACAGACAAAGAGGCCAAGGCACTCCCCAAGGTAAACCATCTATAGATGGGTCATTTTCAATAGCTATGTTAAATTACCAGAGGGTATGTGAAAACCAATGGATTGAGGAGTTTGCATCACCATTTTTTTGCGGGGGCAAGTACTTGGGTGTGGCCGTAGAAGAAGGGAATTTCGTTCAAGTTGGCATAAAAACTGTTATAACTGCCATAATTTGTGGATATGCTCCATGTCCAGTTCGTTCGTATCATTCTCATTTGATCTTGTTGCGGTCATTGATATCACCTGTGTTGATGGAAATCCCAATTTGATGTATAAATTTGTAAATCTTCCCAGGTGGTTTCATTGAATGGTAGCTAAATCTTTGAACCACCAAATTGTCCAGGATTTTCCGATGTTTCCCATCATACCCCATTAGAATCCCCGTTTTTTTTGACGGGAACCAGCCGCTGCCATCGCTTACCTGCCGCTTGACCAAGGCCCGTCGTTTTGGACGTGGCCGATGAGTCCTTGATACTCGGAAAACAACACGACGTGGAACCCTGCGACGTCAGTAGACATTGTGGTTTTTGTCATGGGAATCATCCCCAAATTGTAAAGTGTGATTACTTCACGTCCCAAATGAGAATCACTTGGTTTCGACCCCAAGTGGTCTTATTTTCCAGCTCCAGCTTTGTGAAGTATTGCCATTGATCTAGGTCCATGTCGACTGATTTGAACTAAGTCCCATTAATGCGAACCATGGTGCTGGAATATTTACCCAGCATTTGCCCGAACAAAATCACCCAGTTTTGTAGGTAAATATACCATACATGGAGCATATGGGAGTTACTGTATATGATATTGGAATCTCTAACTAATTGATAATGAGGGTAACACAAGCCTATGATCATGTGTTTTCCATTGAAGTGGCCACTGGGAATTCCACACCCCATTGGTGGCAACAGAACTCACATCCAATCAAAACTTCAAACTTCCGAGGAAGGGCAAGAAAGTTTTGCTGACCTATGCGGGTACAAACTTAGCTGCGCCTTTCTGCAGCCGTGTGCCGGGTTTGGACTTTGGGATGTGTTTGTTTTCGTTTATGTTTTGTTTATTATTATTTCCATCTGGTTATGACTAACATAGCCATTGATTATTTAACAGTTTGCCATGGAAAATCCCCATTTTTAAGGACGGTAAACCATCTATTTCTATGGGCCATCTATACCATGGCTATGTTAGTCATAACCAGAGGGTATTATTTAAAAGTTGTGCTATGGCCACATCGAAAAAAAATAAGGCATATGAAAAAGATCGATTTGTTTTTGGAGTTTTTGCATAGTTGGATCGATGGACACTGGTGGGTTGATATGGGATATGAAAAAAACATATTAAACAATTAAAAAAAACATTGGTTTTCCCATTATGTTTATACCATTATTCTCCCAAGATATACCATTGGTTGTCCCATATTAAATCCATTGGTTGTCCCATTATGATATGCCCATATTAAATCCAGTGGTTGTCCCATTATGATGATTTAACCATATAAAACCGTATGATATCGTAGGAGATCAAGGCGAATATTGTGGGGTCTTGGTTTTGTGTGTAATCCATTGATCTCCATAAACTGATCCCATCATCGTTCCACCAATATCCGTGAACCATTTGTGAAAATCATATTAGTCGATAATAAACATACCATTTAATACCAACCAATCAACAATGATTGACAATGAGAATCAAACTATAAACCTACTATAGTTGGTGGTATTATAATTTGTGATTAATCAACAATACTTGTCATTCATAAACCATGTTAGACCATATTGGCGGTATTGCAATGGGGTATATCCCCAAATGGCCCCACACTTTGCACTCCACACTTTACACTCTATTGTGTGCTGGTATGGTACTGTTCACAAAAGTGTTCTACGTGACTGCATATCCATGTGTTTCGACATCTGTACCATTAACATACGTGTTTTTGCATTCGGGTTCGTGGGCTGCATCTTGTTTTCCCCCCAAAAGGCGTGCTCACTAGTACCTGGCCATGGATACGCCGTGGATACTACTGGCCACTGAAGAGCACACCTTTTTGAGGCAACTGAGAAGGCAATGACGTCGGGTTCGCCTGATGCCGATCCGGTGGTGGTGCCGCTGCTGATCACCGTCGTCGGGTGGTGCTTTTCTGGAGGAGGGCGTCTTAAGTGGGCGAGCAAAGACGAGTACCGGCATGGCGGACTGCAGACGCCAGGACGGACCCCAGATGGAACACTGTTGTACACCCGCCACCTGCCGTGAACCTGGTAGGGGGTACGCTTTGCTGAGACCCGGTGATCTGGAGAAAAGCCATGGGTGATTGGATTGACAGTCACATCGAAACTTAGGTAGGGCGTACGCCTTGCCGGCCAGATCCGGCCAGTTTAGTTGGAACAAATATACTCAGACGAAAGATTTGGGACATACCCTATGTTCAGACAAACCTATATCAATGGCCATTTCAGGAACCTAAATTGGAGATACCATATATAAGGCCTATATAAGGGCTATGTAAGGGGATATCCCCATTGACCTATGTTCAGACAAACCTATATCAATCACCATGTTTCATATGTTTTTGTTCCAGTAAGACCTGCTTGAATTCATCATGTTCATCTTTGTTTGTTGGTGAAGCTCCATCATGTAGCATAGAAAACCACTACATATAGCATTGCAAACAATCACTAATCAACACCGTTTATTCAAACAAACAAACATCAGGATGGTTGGTTTTCTGATGCCCCTCATTCTGTCCATAAATTTCTCACTAACATCATACAAGCCACCATTTATTGCCCATTAGTATTCATTAATTGTTGGTGAAATTCGATCATAAATCCACCCTTGTTAACCACTGTCAAACCATATAAACATGATAAACATGTATAAACCATATAAAACCACATAAACCATATAAAACAGTAGAACACTGGTACAAAACAAAACAAAAGATAACCAACTTATATAAAACAGTATGAATCCAATCCAGACATGTGAAAAATACAACAAGCTAAAACTGATATAACACCTATATCAAACCGTATAAAATATTTTTAAAACCATATAAAAACCATATAAAACCACATTATCATTAAAGCCATGTGTTCAGCACCTTTTTTGGTTCATTTCAACCGGTTCCTCCAAGTTTTGGTGTCCAACCGGTTTCGTTGGTTTCAGGTCCTGGAGGCTGAGGAGGTCTTCAAACCGGACAAGGTGAAGGAAGCCAAGGCACGAAAGAGTTGGAGAATCTCCAATGATGATCATGGTACCCTCTGGTAATTTAACTTGCTATTGAAAATGACCATTTATAGTGGATTTTCCCATAAACAATGGTGATTTTCCATAGCTATGTTAATTTACCAGAGGGTAATAATCATTCATCAAATTAATATTACCATGATCATCATTGGAGATTAAGACCACAAGAATGGCTATTCCAAACAATCAAAATGTTGATATCCAATGATCATCATTTTTGGTACAATCAACATGTTGATATTCCAAAAATGGCTGATATTAATATTACAATCAATGGTAATCATTGGAGATTAATATCATGTGATGGCAATCAACAATCAATTATTACATCCAATAATCAATGGTGATATTCATTTATCATACCAATCATTAGTAATATTGATAACCATTGATGATCAATCAATATGACTAACCATTTAATGATATGCCTATTATGATGAATACTAGCCCTAATACCTATTACAATGATATATATATTTACCATTCTAAGATTATCATGAAAATCATTACCATTGATCATATGGTGATTTTAATACTGATATATATATATATGATATACATAGTTGGATTCATATCGGATCATGATTAGTATATAATTTGGATACCCACTTGCCGCTAAAGGTCTGGAAGAGCAAACCATTACCAAACCCCATGGTTTGTGGTGAAGGGTGGCTGAAACGGTTGGCTGGGATTATAAATCCATATCCACTAAGGGGACAATATCATACTTTGATCCATAAATCATGCCGATACTATTCAGGTCTTGTTTGTTCCGGGAAGCTCTCATGAAACGGGGATTTGGACATAAATGGTGGCAAGTCTTCCAACACAAAATCAGATGAATGGGATCGTCACTATCACGTGAATGCAATTCTTCCCACCCAGTATCATCCCATTCAAACACATGTATACTTGTGAAATCTATCTAAACCATTCAGTATCACATTGGAACCCATTTAACCATTTATCCGTGGTTTTGGTCCGGTTTAATAATAACCGAGGTATGGTTGGTTTCATAACTATTTTTGTTTGTGGAAATCCGTTTATAATCAATCTCACTCAGTAACAGCCACATGTTTATCATTGAAATCCCAAGTTTCACTGGACAAATCAAATGGTGTTGATGCTATAATCTACACTCAAACTCTCAAATATCATATAAGTATCTTATAACTATCCTGGTTATAAATATCATATAAGTATCATGGAAAATGGCCCATTTATAGATGATTTTCCCATTCAAACCTCCATTTATGGTTGGGATTTTCCATGGCTATGTTAGTCATAACCAGAGGGTAAAACCAAAGAAAACCTCCAGCCATAGATGTCCCTTAAATTCCCATGGCTTGGTTGAGGAAAAAATCAGGGTTTTTTTCTTCAGAAAACCCTGAAAAACAACGGGTGATGATAGATGGGATTAACCAGTCACCGGCCCATATTTTTATCAATTTGGGACATGAAATTGTTCCATTGGTATTAATCAACACTGTCATACTATGAATCATGAAGGCATAATGGTGATATTATGTATCTAATCTAATTTCACCAGGACAGTTAGTCTAGATGACATCACCATTAAACCATATGTCCATAATATTAGATACATAATGTCACCATGTTATTTTCACCATATCTATCTATAATAATGGTTATACTTAGTAAGTGAGTTCTATTATATCCCCAGTTGTAAGTGGATGAACCCTACTAATCCCACTTGTAACCAGGGATGTAAACTACTTGTGGGGATATTCCCTTACATAGGCCTAAAAAATAGGCCTTATATATGGTAGGTACCTCCAATTTAGGTTCCTGAAATGGCCATTGAACAATGGATAACCAACCGCTAATAGAATAACATCACCATTGTTTAATCTTATTTTCACTATATCTATCTATAATCATGGTTATCTATATATATATATACACATATGTTTAAAATAACTCACCACCTTATATACACATAATAAGCAATATATTTACACATAATAAGCAATATATATATATATACACTATATATATATATACACACATATATTTATATACATATATATATATATATATATGTATTGTTTTCACTATATCCAATCAAAACGGGGGCTCCCAAAACGTCGTCGCTTCCTGGGCGAGGCAAGTTATGGCACCACCTCCACGGAGCATCCCTCGGTGGCGGAGCTCTTCTCGGAGCTGGGGAAGTTCTACCTGGGAGGCACTGAAACGGGAAACGTCGCACCCTTGCGGTTGCGAAACGTCGGGTTAACGTGCTGGTTAATGGCGGAAAATGGCCGTAGAAATAGTGGATTTATCAATTAACAATGGTGGAAAATGGTTAATCATGTATAACTGGTGGATAATGGTGGTTAATAGTGGATAATAATGGTTAATAATGGTTAACGAGATATCCCTTTTCGAAACGCCATGTGCGAAACGCGACGTTGCGGTTTCGAAACGTGGATGGAGAGATTGAGATTTACCCGGTTTTTGTTTCTGTTTTTGGGTTGTTTTTGGATGGAGAGATAAAGACAAAACACCTCGGTTTATATATTTATATATATATATACACAAAGCAGCCATTGTGGTGTTATATGTTTTGAAAAATATAAAGTAATATGCACATTATCGATATATATATATATATTTACATATTTTATATAAATATATAATGATTTACATACACAATCACAGACATATATATATATATATTGATCTACGTATCGACCTATTTTTCTATCTATCTATCTCTCGCTATCTATCTATCTATCTATCTATCTATCTATCTATCTATCTATCTATCTCTCTCTATATATCTCTATCTCTCTATCTCTCTATCTCATCTATCTATCTATTTATCTACCTATCTATCTATCTATCTATCTTTCTTTCTTTTTCCTTTCTTTCTTATCTATCTCTGTCTCTCTCTCTCTCTCTATCTATCTATCTATCGATCTATCTATCTATCTATCTATCTCTCTCTCTATCTCTCTATCTCTCTGTCCATCCATCCATCCATCCACCCACCCATCCATCCATCCATCCATCCCATCCCTGTAATGTACACACATATATATATATATAATGCATGGTAAATAACTGCTTGGTATGGACAAACCATCAGCTTGTTTGTAGGTAGATTATCAAACTGAATGGGACATAGTTTCCAAAGCAAACTGTGAAATTCCTCAGGGTATGCATTTTTCACATGAATGATCACACAAATGCATCTCAATCCATAGCTATATTGGTGTATACATGCAATGATATGTGTGTGTACAGAAACATATCATACCTCCTTATGGTGACATTGTGTTTTAATCAACAAACTATCGTGGCTATCTGCTGCTCAAAATAACGGAGTATATATACTCTCTGGTTATGTCAAAATAGTTATTGAAAATGGCCATGGAAATAGTGAATTTACCCAGCTACAAAATGGTGGATCTTTCCATAGTTATGTAACAGTTTACCAGAGGGTATGTATGTTCATATGTTTAATGCAGGATTGTGGAACAAGTAATTTGTGTATATGTTTGTTTGTTTACATAGAATTTTTTTATTACATTAAATCATCATCACTCATGTATATATGGAATTATCACATTATATGCGTACAGTCCTTCGGGTAGTACTCGCTCCGGCAACAGCTGCTGAAGGAACCTCAGTGGGAATGTCAAGACCCTAAACTGGAGGTGCTGTAACATAGGACATTTTTTTGATGGTCTAATTGCATGGACCATATATATATATATATATACATGGTCTGGTAGGTACATCCAATGTATTCAAATTTGATCTTTTCCCATCCTGAAGATAGGACGGCAGCTTGTTATTTCTCGTCCTATTTGTGATGACAATCAACAGCGGCGATAGATGATGGAACCAAGAACAATTGGAGGTACCTACCATATATAAGGTCTATGTAAGGGCTAATTTTCAAGGAATATTTCACAAAAATATGGTTTTACATGGCTACAGTACCTCCAGTTTAGGTACCTGAAATGGACAGTGATATCAGCTATGGTTACCCTCAGTGACCCATCATGCATTCTTTTGTGGTTGGTGAAAATGAACAATCACCTAGAGAATGTATGTTTCTCAATGATAAACGGATGTAAGTCACCATGAGTGGTCAGTTATACCGTCATCATTGGAGTTAAACACACATAGTTGATAGCTATGGATTGTATCTCACTGTATCACCATGATATTTCCATTACATCCCCATCATATCCCCATCCATATCCAATATCCCTTTTAAATATACCATGTTTATCCCATCTTAAACCACATAATGGTCATGTGTTTCCATCAATTCTCTCGATTTCCGGGAAATTTCACCACGATGAGATTTCCATTGTCACCACTTTTTGTTATCCCATTATACCTGGATATATCACCATGGAAATTTTCCATTATCCCATCTACTATCCCACTATTATCCCATGATATCATATTCGAAGGAAGTTTAGAAGTTAAACTTCCGACAATATGGACAGATGAAAAGCAGAGCAGGGAAGAGGCAGAGAGAAGAGAAAGAGTAAGAAGAAAGAAGATGCAGATGCGCGAAAAGGTAGGAAAGTCGCGAAACACTGTGTTTTTTCCAATGATTTGGGGCTCCGGAGGGTCGAAAAGTAGGCTCGCTAAAGCGGCGGGTGCGGAGCCAGCTGGCCAGATGAGAGATGAAAAGTTGCACGCCCTTGTGGCGCGAAGCACATTTGGAAGTCAAAATCCACAAAACACACCATTGTCGGACCACTTTTGGAAGTTGAGATGTTGAAAAAGTGCACGCCGTTGTGGCGCGAAGCACACTTTGAAGTCAAAATGTACAAAACACACCATTGTCGGACCACTTTTGGAAGTTGCGATGTCGAAAAAGTGCACGGCGTTGTGGCGCGAAGCACATTTTGAAGTCAAAATGTACAAAGCACACCATTGTCGGACCACTTCTGGAAGTTGAGATGTCGAAAAAGTGCACGCCGTTGTGGCGCGAAGCACATTTGGAAGTCAAAATCCACAAAACACACCATTGTCGGACCACTTTTGGAAGTTGAGATGTCGAAAAAGTGCACGCCGTTGTGGCGCGAAGCACACTTTGAAGTCAAAATGTACAAAACACACCATTGTCGGACCACTTTTGGAAGTTGAGATGTCGAAAAAGTGCACGCCGTTGTGGCGCGAAGCACGTTTCCAAGTCAAAATGTACAAAGCACCACATGTTCGCGCCACTTTTGGAGGTTCGGAGGTTGAAAAAGTGCACGCCGTTGTGGCGCGAAGCACATTCCGAAGTCAAAATGTTAAAAAGACCAGGGTTTCGGACCACTTTTGGAGGTTCAGATGTTGCTTCGCTTCACTACACTACATGACACTACACTCCACTACACTGCATTGCACTACACTACATTACACTACACTACAACTACAACTACACAACTACACTCCACTACAGTCCACTACACTCCACTACACTCCACTACACTCCACTACACTCCGCTACACTCCACTACACTCCACTACACTAAATCACACTACACTACATTACACTACACGACACTCCACTACACTACAATACACTACATTACACTACACTACCTTCCACTACACTTCACTAGATTACACTACACTACACTCCACTACACTACAACTACGAATACACAACTACACTCCACTACACTACACTACACTACATTCCACTACACTCAACTACACTACACTACATTACACTACACCACATTACACTGAATGACACTGCACCACAGATAGACAGGTCGGCAGATAGACAGACAGACAGACAGACAGATAGATAGATAGATAGGTTGGTAGGTGGGTAGATAGTCAGAGAAAGAGAGAGAAAGAGTGAGAGAGATCAAGCACCTTTCGGTCCATCAGTGGATTCGCTCTGCCATCCCTGATTCACAACAACCAATCTCTCCTATAGGTTTCCTATTTATGAAACTTCCGCCACCGCCTTGTGCGGTACTACTGGTAAACATGGTGATTTTCCATGGCAAACTGTTAGTCATAACCAGAGGGTAATAGATATCCGCTACTCATATCTTATCCCACTATTATCCCACTATTATCTCACTATTATCCCACTATTAACCATTTTCCATGGTTATGTTAAATAACCAGAAGGTAAACCTCCATTTCCCTATGGTTTTCCTATGGTTTTCCCATTTATAAACCTCCATCTACTATCCCATCTACTATCCCATCTACTATCCCATCTACTATCCCACTATTATCCCACTATTATCCCACTATTATCCCACTATTAACCATCATTATCCACCATGATTTCCATGACATCCCCATACTTTTTCCAGGCAAACTGCACGGCCTGACGACGGGCTTCGACGCGGTGTGGGGCAAGGGCTTCAACACCCCTGCGCAGGTTTTCCGAACGCGGTGGTGTGGTGAACCTCAATTCGAAAAAGAGAACATATCTGGTTAATAATGGTGGATAATGGTGGTTAATAATGGTTAATGAGATAAGGTTGGTGGTACTAGGCAGCCGGAAGGATTTCCAGAAGGGGCCTTCCAGTTTGTTGGTGCTTCAGCGCATTTTAGTTTGAAGATGTGGGTATGAGTATGAGTCAACAAGACTCATTTCACCTGTCGTGCCATGTTAAATTTGGGTGACTCTTTCAAAATCCAGTCGATCCTTTCCTGTGCATGAAAGACACCCATGGTTGGTGGTTTCAAACATTTGTTATATTTCCATATATTGGGAAGAATAATCCCAACTGACTTTCATATTTTTCAGACGGGTTGAAACCACCAACCAGATATGGATTGTTAGGGTGTATCATATTCAAGTATGAATGTTGAAGTACTTAGATGGATTATAATATAGTACAATATGTTCGAAAAAAACAAACACGTATTTATAAGTACTTAGAGTTGGTGAACCAGTTCGTAAATGGATATTTTATTGATTTTGATATGTTGATATTGAAGTACTTAGATGGATTATAATATAGTATAATATGTTCGAAAAAAAACAAACACGTATTTATAAGTACTTAGAGTTGGTGAACCAGTTCGTAAATGGATATTTTATTGATTTTGATATGTTGATATTGAAGTACTTAGATGGATTATAATATAGTATAATATATATATTGGAAAAAACACACATATTTAAGTACTTAGAGTTGGTGAACCAGTTCGTAACTTGATATTTTTTAATGATTTTGATATGTTGATATTGAATGATTTTGAAGTACTTACCCTCTGGTAAACTAACATAGCTATGGAAAATGGCCATTTATAGTGAGTTTTCCCATTAAAAATGGTGATTTTCCATTGCTATGTTAAATTACCAGAGGGTAGTAAATAAGGGGTTTACCATATTTTTTTGGGGGTTGGGAAGTTGGGTACTTAGATCTTAGGCCATGGAGTTGGTAAACCATCACTAGTTCCATGCCCCATTGTTTAATTAATTCACACTATAGTCTATTAAGTATGGTCCGTGTATATATATTTATATATTTAATATACATATACATATACATATACATATACATATACACTTATATATATATATACATGTATACATATATACATATACATATATTTATATATACACATATGATTTCATCCCGTCCTAATTCGTGGTTTCATTTACGGTTGTGGTTCATTTGGGTGAAGAGTGTCGTATTATTTGAAGTCTTGATATTAAGAGAACTCAATCATTGCCAATTCCACATAGAATACTACATACAATTTACAATAAATAGTGTGTACTGTACAGTTTCTATGTGTGTTTGAAGGCTTCCACTACATGTGTTTACCCATTTGTTTTGTTCAGTACGTCAATATTTTGCTACAAAATAGGGATATTATACTAACCACCTGAAGAAGATAAATACAGGAAACCAGGGTACTCATATCTAAACTTTACCACTTGTACATGCCACGTCAATTTAAACATTACAAATACACGTTTTATCTTCCATCCATTTGTCAGTTTCATGTCTCACCTGCCACCATATGTTTAATTTGATATACATGCCAACCAACTCATTCATCTCCATCATATGCCATACATACTATACATAGACTTTATATATGTATATACTGGTTGGTGCTTTGGAACATGAATTTTATTTGCCATAATGTATTGGATAATCCTTCCCATTGACTTTCATATTTTTCAGAGGGGTAGGTATACCACCAACCAATATATATATATATTAACACATATATTCTATACTCTAGAAATGCTATAAACATATACTATTGATCTACATCGCCAGGTACCCATAATAAGATCATTTAACGACGTTTTCTCCAGGTGCGCGCCTCGCTGCCGAAGGGCAAACAGGTGGTGGCCTTCCAGAACCGAAATCCGGTGCACAAGGCGCACTTCGAGCTGCTGGCGCCTTGGATTCGACGGATCGACGGATCGACGTGGCGATGAGGAGATGGGGGTTACCCTCCGGTAAACTAACATAGCTATTGAACATGGCCATTAATTTTGAGTTTTCCCATTAAAAATTGTGATTTTCCATAGTTATGTTAAATTACCAGAGGGTAGTATGTATAGGTTATAGATGGTTAGTAGAAAAATGGAATTATAAAGACAATGGTTGGTATATATATATGATTACAACTATATAGTTTTATACAGAGATATAGTATGACTAGTGGTTATAAAACATAACTGGATTATAATGGAATTTGTATAGGAAATCATCAAAAATCTATAGATGACCTTCTCACTTGCTTTTACCCCCTGATCATCAAACATGTGGCAATGTGGCCAGCTGAAAAAACCTAGAATCAAGAAATGAAGTTGTTTTTTAATAGGAAAGGCATCCATAAATGAGGAATTCTCCATTGCCATCTTTCAGTACCGGATGTACCGGATGGTATAGTTGGTTCAAGATACTTGTTAATTTCTTGCTGGTTATCGCGTTAGTATATTTGTATATATTGATTATAAAGACTGCAGTTGATATATACTCCAATTGCAGTTATATATATATATATGTATATATATATATAAATTTTAGTGGTTCTGTGGTGGGTATATGGCTCATAGCCAAGTTGTTTGTACCATATCAATGTATTTATTAATCGTCATTCATGAGGATTATAGTGCCTGTTGGATTCGAATAGCCATCAGCATATCACTTGGATGTGCATTCCAGTTGTATAACAGGGGAGACCTCATCTACAACTGAGTGGGGGTATAGTATGGTTATATACCAATATATATATATACAATGTGAGGCCCCCCAGTGATGTTTGTTGGTTTATAAGCCCCAGTAACTATAGTTATAAGTACCATAAACCATAGTTATTGGAGTTATAAACCAACTTAGCTATCTTGGGGGCCTCACATTGTATAGTCATTTGGGGATTTGGTCTTGAAAAGACGTATTCGTTGGAGATAACATATTCCTTTTCTTGTTGTGATGTGAAGAATTAAGAGAGTACAAACACCTGTGGTTTTTGAGACATGCTGGACCTCTGGATTTTTGGTTAAATGACTCGGAGAAATAGATATTCTACATGATCTTTGCTGTTTCGTCACTCGCGTGCTGGCACTCAGCACTCGCGTGCTCAGCACTCACTCCAATGCATTTTTCCCGGTGTGCATCCTAGCAGATATGTTTATCTTGATTTAGATAGTGGATGCTTTTATTGGAATAGGAAAAATGCATTGGAGTGACGATAAGCATGAGATATCATGAGATATGCATCACATTCATGAGAGCCTCCGAGTACCTCCAAGTGGCGTTGATTTTTTCAACACCCTGAAAGACTGTACCCTTTTGGAGGAAACGGGGAAACCTAGATGCTTTTTTGGGGAAGCGCAAAATGCATCCGGACGTCAGGCAGATATTCGCACGTGACCGGATGCTTTTTTCACAGAAAAGTAAATGCACCGAGGTATGAATAGGATAATAAAAACCCAATGCGTTTCGAACTTGCGATTTACTAGCCCTGTAGGGTAATGTTTATCCATTTTCGATAGCTTAGTTTGCCAGAGAGTAACTATACTAGCTGGATTTTTGGGGATTATGAACTACCCAACTGGGTAATCAAACACGACTGAAAATCAAACATGGCAAGTTTAAATCCGCCATTAATTAGTTCTGGTTGGTGGTGACTGGAACCATGGAATGGATGGAATGACTTTCCCATATATATTGGGAATGGGAAATCATCCCAACTGACGAACTCCATCATTTTTCAGAGGGGTAGGTATACCACCAACCAGATTATTATTAACCATCATTAACCATATAATAACCATTAATATGAACCATTCATATTAACAGTATATTAACAACCAATAGTAGGTAGGTTGAAACCACCAACCAGAGTTCAATGTTTTTTCTCATTCAAAGCTCCATTTTGATCGGGGATTTCCCTTTACGTCACCCTTTGAGGTATCACCATTCATATCCCATGATTTTTTTGATTAGAGCATATAAAATCATATAAAACTTTGATTAAACCATATAAAAACCATATAAAACCATATAAAAACCAGATAAACCCATCTAAAACCAGATAAACCCATCTTCTCCCCAATATTAATCCCCATATATCAACATTTCCTGGGGATTTCCGGTACCCTCTCCATCGGTGTTTCGTTCAACGGTGACCACGCCGAGGTTCACGCCAACAAGGACGTGGAGAACAGCATCATCCTGGTGCATCCCACCTGTGGTCCCACGCAGCCGGGGGACATCGATGGTGCCACACGTTTCTCGTGACGGTGAGGGCGTGGCGTGGCGGTAGGCGACAGAATGGTGGTTAATATATGGTTAATGGTGGTTAATATGTGGTTAATGGTGGTTAATATGTGGTTAATGGTGGTTAATGGTGGTTAATATATGGTTAATGGTGGTTAATGGTGGTTAATGGTGGTTAATATATGGTTAATGCGATATCTGGTTAAAACTATGGTTAATGATGGTTAATATATGGTTACTATATGGTCATTAATCATGAAAATGGGTGAATATAATTTAATATAATACTGGTTGGTGGTGACTGGAACAGCCATAATGGTGGATAATGGTGGTTAATAATGGTTAATGAGATAATCTGGTTGGTGGTGACTGGAACCATGGAATGGATGGAATGACTTTCCCATCATTAATTGGGAATGGAAAATCATCCCAACTGACTTTCACTCCATCATTTTTCAGAGGGGTTGGTTGAAACCACGAACGAGTATATGTTTTTCATTGAATATATACCTTCAGTAATCTTACATGGATACAAACTAATCCTAACTAATCTTTTGGTATGAAAATCGGAATATCTACGTTCACCAGCAACGAATTTTACCCTCTGGTAATTTAACATAGCTATTGAAAATCACCATTTTTAATGGGAAAATCGGAAAATCCACTATGAATGGTCATTTTCAATAGCTACGTTAAATTACCAGAGGGTAGTCTTTTTTTGCAGGAGCCCTCTGGCTGATTGGCAATGACATGGTGCAGTCTGGGACTGGTCTATCCCATCCGACGGGCTATCCATATATCCAGATTCCAATAGAAAGTGGTGCCCCCAAAAAACGTGATAAGTTGGTAAATAAAACGCCATTAAGAATGGATATATCATGAGATATCATGATATATCTACTACAAGGCCAAATGAAATAAGTTGTATTAGTTACGAACCAACTTAGCTTGTCCACGTGTGACTGAATGTTCTGAAATGTATTGCGTCGTCTAACATGGTGATTTAATCAGATGTTTGGATACAACATAGCGACACACTTAGTTTTTGAGAGTTTTAGGAGGTTAGATTGATTGTAGATTTACCATTTATCCCAATAAAAGGCGAAACCTTTAGCAGCGAAGCAACAAACAACCAAAGTTGGTAGGTGCCATTTATAGCATGAAACACATGGGTAATTTTACCGCCACATATGCAGTAGGTGTTGGTGCTAAGATATGATAATATGTTTTAACCACAAAAACTGGATTTCATTGGGTATATACCCTTTGGTTATTTAACGTAACTATGGAAATATGGAAAATGGCCCATTGATAGGGGATTTATGAGGATTTACCGTTTTTTAAGATGGTGATTTCCCAGTTCGCTATGTTAAATAAGCAGAGGGTAATCACTACTGTTTGCTGGTTGGTTGGTTGGAAAATCACCTCTGGTTTAATTCGAAAATCAGCTATCAATCGACTGGGCCATGGCTTCAATAGCAAACTGTAAACGTTTACCAGGCCGGGTATATCCACTGATCTGTCCTTTTCCATTGCTTTCCAACCGGCATTCCCCGTTGGATCGACTGTGAGCCCTTGCTGTGGAGAGTCTGAGGTATCAAGACCTATGAGGTTTTGCAAGAAGAGCCAGAGTACAAGAGACTCGGATTACAACTTTCATTCCCAGATGCTCCATGGTGCTGGTATATTTACCTACAAAGCTGGGTGATTTGTAGGGCAAATGTTGGTAAATATTCCATACATGGAGCATATGGGATTGGACCACGAGATGAATAAATCCCCACTTTGATGTCCTATCAAAGCATATCTGTTGGTGGTGACTGGAACATGTTTTATGACTTTCCCATCATATTGGGAATGGAAAATCATCCCAACTGACTTTAACTCCATCATTTTTCAGAGGGGTTGGTATACCACCAAGCAGCCATAATTAACCAGTGATTAACCATACGTATAATAACCATTAATATGAACCATTCATATTAACAGTATATTACCAACCAATAGTAGGTAGGTTGAAACCACCAACCAGATATAAAAACAACATCAATGGGGATATCAAGGGGGATGCACTGGGATGTACACATAAAAAAGTGGGCTTGTGGAAAAAACTTGGGCGTTTTGCCCCCAAAAATCATCAATTTTCATGGGATTTACCGATTTACCATTATAAATTATGCATTTTGGGATACCCCCACTGTAGGAAAGCTCCAAACTTGGGCGCACGGGACCTGGACCTTGCTGTTTTCCCCACATTTTATTATAAAAAACTTCGGACCTCGGGCGAATGAAACCACATGTTACTAATGGTCACTAAAGTAAGTGGTCAATGAGTCATTGAGTCATGTCCATTGACAATTCATGTAACATAGATGTTACCATGTTACCCAGCAGTCATGAATTGGGTGAGTTGGCTGTGGGGTTGATGTCACACAGTTATGGCCATTTACCAGTTATAACTACTAACAAAACCCCATTTATAGAATGTATTTCATCCCAGTTATAACCAGTTATAACTAATAGATGGTCATCACTGCAGCCGTCGAAGAGGAAGTGGGCGGGCGAGAACTTCCGCTGGTCCTACCTCCCTTATTCCATGAAGATGGCTGGGCCGAGGGAGGCCATTCAGCACATGTCGCTCAGATGGATCAGAAAAAATCTGTGAATTCATGGGGAAAAAAGGGGAAAACCACGAATCTATGTCAGTTTACCCTAGAGTAATCATCAAATTTCATGATGTGCATGTTTTTTTTGCGTATATTTTCTGGGGAAATTTCTAGGTTAATCTTAGATGGATACAAACCAATCCTAACTAGTCTTTTGGTATGAAAATGGGAATATCTACGTTCACCAGCAAAGAATTTGAGTCTTTTTTTGCAGGGGCCCTGTGGCTGATTGGCAATGATTTGAACAAAACCCATGGGAATTGAGGGATTGAAGCAACAAATACAGATATGTGGCTGGGATTCCAATGGGAAAATTCACTATAAATGGGCCATTTTCCATAGCTATGTTAAATTACCAGAGAGTAACGCCAATATGTGGGAGTATGGTAGCCATAGATCAGGACATGTTTTTTTTTGTCCAAAGAAGGCTTCAAGGGGTTGTAAAACCAGCCACGATGGGCATGTAATGCAGATAATTTAGGATAGAACCAAGACATAAGACAAGAATCTACCCCACAAAATGGGTATGTCCGAAAATTGGGTTTTAGATGGGAACATGATAGTAAACTACTAGAGTTGGGGATACCCTACTCTTAAGCGACCGAAGCATGTCAATGGAACCGCCCTTTCTTTTGATAGAGACGTGAGTTATAAACTTTTTGCACAGGTAGTCACACTGATGGATAACAGTTCATCATTGGTTATCCAATGTTTATTGCGATCTTGCAACTATGGTTGCCCTGAAAGACGTTTTAACATGTAATTGGTATCCGGGTATCCCCCCTGCTACTAGACTTGTGGGAAATCCTTGGCAGCCTGCAGATGTTCACAACATACAATATGCTATGTGTATATAGATATATTAATGTATTACCGTATACTAGATATGGATATTTACATACAGTATATACATATATATATGTATTATATGCATATGTTGCTTACGTATATATATATATAATTATATTGTTTTTACACACATTTCTTGCTGCTCCGCTCCTTCCCAGCAGTTACTTCTCGGGTCCACGATCGAAATTTCTCGTTGGAACGAGCCGCAAAGCGAGGATCATCCGGAAGAACTTCGGTGCCACCCACTTCATCATCGGCCGCGATATGGCGGGCACGAGCCTCGAACGAAAGTAGCGGAAGGGTTTAACGAATGGCTTCTCCAAAAGGGAGGCGATATTTCTTTTTTAAAGAAAATTATATTATAGATTACATTGATTGGAGATTCAACATTTATGGGATGTAATATATAATCCCAAACGATCCCAATACCTTTGGACCCCTCACTGGGACAACTTGCCTTCCGAGCAACTGGCGAGGGCCCAAGATGAGGGCCCAAGGCCCAAAAGGGCATAATAGATGGAAAATAATGAAGATTAATGTGAATTCATGTTGGGAACCTGGAGAAACCATAAGATTTCTAAAGATACATGTCATGTACCGCGATGAACTGGAGCAGCCTTTGTTTGCTCATATGCACGTCCATGCGTACAGCTCTTGCTGCCACATGTTTGGAAACCAAGCTGGGCAGAGGGTTGGGCTGTGGGGCAATCATGAACAGACAGAAACTATAGGATCTATAGGGGGGCGCCCATATAATAAATAGTTCAACCTTAGGTGCCACCCAGCTCCTCATTGAGTTTGAAAAGTAATTGCACCAAATATCTTTCTAGGGTCCTTCTTGACACAGTGGTTCGGTGTGTGGCACGCGCCACACGGCCAACAACACCTATGAATGATTCGGCCGACAGCAGCATCACCATCTTTGGGTTGATGCGCGTAACCAAAACATCGTGAGCGATATGCCAGGCATGATGCTGTTTTGGCATCAAGAGCCAGCATCGCCTGCCCGGAGTGCCCAATGCTGCCACCATTCCAAAACTGTGCAACCACCCGTATGACTGCAGGTGTTTGAGGGTGAAGTAAAAGAAGTTCTGGGCTTGCTCAGCAGTCATGATGTGCTTGCTTGCGTCCATGGTTCGAAGCATCATGCTGTAAGCAAAAATGCAAGATGCCATGACTTTATCAGCCCGTGTTGCACCGGATCTTTGCACGAACTGGATGGCTTCAGAGGTAAGCCACAGCGTCAAGATCTTTGAAGGAGCAGCTTTGCTCTGAAGGGATGGAAAACCTCACAAGGCACCCAACCCCAAATTGTTCAAAGCACGGCACTGACCTGACTGGGAAACCAAACATGAATTAACAAAATCAATGTCTATCTGAACAGGTCCAAGGACTTGTTTGCAGGCTCCTGTTGAGACGCGCTGGTGTAAAACGTGGCTGTGAACACTGTTTTTTATGCATCTTCTTCCAAACCAGAAATCTGCGGTGAGCTCTTCTCAAGATTGGCGCAAGACGAACTTTGTATTCACCTGGTCCCACCATGGAGCCAAACCAGCCAGCTTCTGCTAAGTAGATCAGGACTGATCCTGCCAGTTGGACGCTAACAGATTTGTGAACAACAGGTTTCTTTGGGGCCAAAAACTGCCAATAAAAATGAAAAACATACATATAGAAGTGTTTTTCAAAGGCACCATTTGTTGCTTTTCCAGCGCCCAGCAGTTGGGAATGTGCAACGTCGTGCTGTACTCTGTCAATTGTCAATGGGAGCTGAAACAAAGGTGAAAACCTTTGAGCTAAATCCACACCAGCATAGTCCTGATTGCCAAACTGATCTGGATTGCTGCTAAAGTTTGGCAAAGTAGCAAGCACGTCTGGCGCATTTTTTTTGCAAAAGCAACGCGAACAAAATTCATTCGCCCTAAAGTTGTGGAACCCGTTCATCCTGTCAGTCAGCCATTTGAGGTCGCCTTGGGCACACGTGAAGGCAATGAGGTATGACTCGCTCCATGGCCATTTGTTTCGACAGTCCAAGAGGCTTCGAAAAGATTCAACCATGTGACCAATTGCGTCGTTGTAAGTGTTAGGCCCCTCGTGGTGCTCGGACCATACAGCACATGCAAAATATCTCATAAGTGGGGTGTTCAGGTAGCTGAGCTCCGATACCCACCCCAGGACAGAAATCACACCGCATTCACTGTTCCTGTATGCTTGAACCTCATCTCCATAGGATCCCACGCTGGCAATCCTGCCATGCGTGGGCCACTGGGCAGCAGGGTGGATTGCAAACCATGAGCACTTCTCGGCAACATGGTTCCAAAATTGTTCAACCTCTTGGTCGGTCAGATTGCCAAATAAACATCGTCTGAACACATCTTCCCCTCGTTTCCACAGGGCTAAGCAGAGTTGATGTGGCAGGATCATTGGCAACTTTTGCACACTCTCCTCCATCGAGGAGGGGTCATACATACGGACCTCTTTCATCTCTATGAATGCCGCCAACGAAGAACCAAGCCGGTGAACCAACCTATGAGTATCCCTTTCAGCGTTGTTTGGGAACTTGCCAGCAGTCCCAACCTTTGAAAGTTGAGAAACCATATCATGTGAGTCCGTCACACGGCCACCGTGCCGTGCTAGCCAATCCATAGCTGAATGGGCAGATTGCTGGACCTACAGTTGAGAAGGGCCCCAACACCAAAAGATAAAGGATCTCAATGGCGCCCCCCAAACACACCACATAAAACCAAACCCCATGTAGAATATAACATTTATATAAATGTATATATATGCATAAATATATATATATATGTATGTACGTATGCATGTATGAATGTATGTATGTATGTATGCATGCATGCATGTATGTATCTCTGTCTGTCTGTATCTCTGTTTGTCTGTATACATAACAAAACAACAATTACACTCACATAGGGGAAGAAACTTTGTTAAAACTGATTTCCAAGGTTCTTTTACAGCACTGGTGGCACCAGTTGAAAATTGTTCCAGAAGTAATTTCCCCAAATCCTTTGGTTTTGGAGCAGCCCGGCTGCTGGCTGACTCCCGGGCCTTCACTACATGGGGCGCAGTGTGTGGCCGCAGCGTTGGCCGAGGTCGCTTCAATGGCCTTTCCAGCGAAAGATCCCCAGAGGCCGGCTCCTGAACAGGGGCCAGCGAGGTAGGGTTGACAATACTTTTGGATGTGTTATATATGTAACTACAACTACCTATGGCCAAACATATTTAGATACAGATAAATACAGTGCACAAAAGGGAACAGCTAGATATAGGTAGATACTGATAGGTAACACATGCATATAGATAGACAGGTCTAACATGAGAAACCTATAGGGATCGATATACATGGACAGGTGGGTTTATGATCCATGGTCCATCATGTTTTTTTATAGGCGTGATTGTGGATTCCCCACCAAAAATATGAACATATTTTGGCCATTGGCTCCTTGGATTTGCGGGCGAGTTCATCCCGCAAAAGTCCTGCGTGGTTGGGGATCACCAGATTAAAGCATGTTTAAACATTGTCCCTGAAAGATTGCTATACTTTTTTTTTCTGCACGCTCAATCTCGTCACCGAGAATTTCAGATTTCATCCATTTCAGCTTTTGTTCAGCTGCTGCGTGTGGATCAACACGCACGAAGGGAAACCATGTATTTGAGAAGTCTAGGCTCACGACCCTGGGGGCAAGGTACTTTGGTTATGGTGAAAAATTGTTTTTTTTGATGGACATAAAATTGGAATAATCCCCCGAGATCATGTTTTGCCATAACCTCTGGTCACAGAAGGAGCTGATGAATCACACTGCTGAGTATGACACACCATAGGATCAAAACCCCAAGATCCCACTCACTCACCCGACGGATGGCGCCATCAGGGACCATCCTACTCTTCATCCGCAGCCTGTTGTCAGAGGGCTCAGTTGAACGTGGGATTGGAGGATGTGGTTCAATATCTTTTCACAAGATGGGTTTGCCTGAAGTATGCATACTATATGATAATAGGCCATGGGGAAACTAAAAGTAGAATGCATGTTTTTTTGGTGGTGCCATGAGGTGCCATGTTTTCAGGTAAACTCAAATCTTAAACCCAAATCTTGGACGAAGGGGTTTTCGAAATATCCCATTATTGCTGGTGCTAATTATATAAATGGTCATATCTGAAGATTGGTTGGCTATGGGATTTTGCCCAATCAAAATTGAATCCCACACTTGAATGGCCTTGTTGGCGGATCGCCGGCCACCTTTGGGCTTGCACAGCTTACTGGCCATGCCAGCGGTCTCCGCGTAGGCATCACGAATTGCCACTGCGTTTGTAAGTTTCTCTAGGAACTCTTCATCTTCAGAAGGGTCAAAGCCATTCTCCTGCAAAACCCAAGTTTGAAGATATAGAACACAAAAAATAACCATCCACTAAACCCGTTGGTTGTCACTATATGATAGCCATGTATGCTAGGGTCTACCCATAGAAGGTTTTCCTGTAATGGACACATGAAAGATTTCTGCAGCAAAGATGATGGCTATTACATTGAAAGGGATGAAAACTCATAGCCCAACCCAGCTCAACCAAGCTGTCCTCTTTGTACTGGTCCAGATAGTGTTTCATCTCGAAAAAGGTGGTCTCCAGACCCTTGGACTGCGCCAGCAACGTGTCACCTCAGATCCAGCAGCACCCCACAACCCTGAAAAACAAATATGACTTTTGGTGATACATAGATAGTGTATTTTTTAAATAATATGAGAAAGGGATATATATATATAAATGAATAATTCCACAGTTGGGTGCATGTGAGTCACGCAGGGTTTCCTGATGCTTCACTTGCACCATCTTGATTGGCCACATCTTGGCTTCCGTAAGATCTTTGAGAAGTTTTGGTACGATCCACTGCAAACCTTCAATGGGATCAGCTGGCATCTCTTTCCTCGGGTTTCGTGCTCATGCAGAGCCCCAAAGGTGTCCTATATACCCCGTTAGTCAATACCTGATGATATATGGCGGCATCGAATATCGAATCACCATTTTTTATATTAAAAAACACCCTATGTTATTTTTCCAACATCTGGTTACCATTGGAATGAATATATGAAAATGGGCAATGCTTCGAACATTGTATCACCATATACAGTCTATACATGTGGGGTACCCCAAATCCCGTGCCTGTTTTATTTAATATAGTTGATCCCCATGGGTATGAATGTATTGAAAAGGGTCGGTGCGGCTCTCCTGGTTCCCGGCTTCTTGTTCGGCTGGGGGAGTACGGTTGTTGGACTGCCCTGAGCAACCTCCTGGGATGCCTGGGATGGCTTCTGAAAGGTACGAAGCTTGAAGAAGCCATCAACCTGGTCCCCGGTCAAGCCGCCCATGAGCTTCTGGGCTGCCTGTGGGATGGATAGTGAATGGATACACCCATCCAAAAAAAAAAGAAAATTCGACATCGTTTTGTTTTGGGAATGATGCACGCATAAAGTATGCAACTGTCTTTGTCTTTTCAAGCCTCACCACCACAGTTCATCTTGGCTTGGGTTTTCATGGTGATCTTACTCTCTGTCTCTTCCTCTTCCTTACGGCCCAATTCTGTGCAGACCTGGGCACCAACAGTTCTCAAGTTCTCATGCTAATGATAATCATTCAATGCGTGCACATGGGTCATGCACATGTTCTGAACTTTAGTTTTAATGGTCACTAGGGTTTAGGGAAGGGGCATAGTAAGTTTTCAATTGATGACTGTCCGGGTGATGGTCCACAAGCCCCTCGGAGGTCTTCTCAGCAATGATCTCGTCAGCTGCATGCGTGTCACCCCCATGAAGGGCGATAATTTGAGCTCGAGTTCGCCAACCTGGGCTCACACAACTAAAGGGGTAATAATGGATAAATCATACATGCATAACCAGTATATATATATATATATAACAAATATCTCTCTTGTACCTATACCTATCCTATACCGTTTTATGTTTCGCATATATATATATATATATGTCAAATATCCTAGCCACAGCAAACTGATTTGAGGTCAAGCAACCCATTTTCTTTCGCCCAACGGTACGATCAGTGTGGGACTTGGAATTCTCAATGATCAGCCTCAGAGAGCCGGGTGGAAGGTGGACAAGGGGTTATAGATAGATAAATAGATAGATAGATAGATAGATTAGATAGATGGATGGATGGATGGATAGATAGATAGATATAGATAGATAGATAGATAGGTAGATAGATAGATAGGTAGATAGATAGATAGGTAGGTAGATAGGTAGATAGATAGATTTAAATAACCATAGGTTCAAGAAACAGGCTCCAATCCTTTCCAGCATGAAGCCATTTCTCAAAGAGTGCCGTCTTTCCTGCCTAGGTCATGAGGGTTTCGAAAAAAGAATAGGGAACATAAAATTGAGCAGATATGACCATGTTGATTCAATGACCGGCCTTACGATTGTTTTTCACAAGATCCGTCCACAGATCCACAATCTCCTGTGGGATTGCGTTTGCCTCTGGTTCTTTGATCCGCCTGACAGGCAGGCCATATATTACAAATATTGTGGGTGGAAGAAATCATGCAACACCAATGGATGATTGAATCCCTGGCTGTATATAAGTAATTGGAACTAACTATTACTATAAATAGGTTCAGGGCAGGATTTCTTCCATCCACAATATGTTGACACAATATGCAAGTGTATGTATGCATGGGACCCTTGTTTAATTCTCTGTGTTACATGTGTATGTATATATTGGCCCATGTATACAGTCCTGCCTTTTAAACTCACCTTGCAACGCTTGTCGTTCGTTGTAGCTTCCAGGGACAATGGGAGTAGCTGCCTCCAGATTGAAAAAAATACGAACACCGTACTGTGCACAAGAAGAAGTTGTACATGCACATAAACAAACATATATAATTCTAAATACCCAACCTGTGCATCTACAGAGACATGTGCAACATCAAGTGCTGCTGGACGTGCGAGTGGCTGCGGAAGGCTTGAGCTTGGTGCTAATGCCTGTCCTGTCTCTGCTGGAGCTGCTTTCGATGCTGCTGCTTGTCCTGGCACTGCTGGAGCTGCTTTCGATGCCTGTCCCGTCACTGCTGGAGCTGCTTTCGATGCTGATGCCTGTCCTGTCACTGCTGGAGCTGCTTTCGATGCTGCTTTTGGTGGGCGGGATGGTTGTGCCTTGAGTGTTGCAGGTGCTGTTGGTGGTGCCTTTAAAACTGACGCTGGTGTTTTCTTTACATTTACATCTGGGCTGCTGGTGGGCTCTTTCTTGGTGGGAGAGTGTTTCTCATGCTTCTGATGTTCCATTTTCCCATTGTGAGGCGGAGTCTGGGTTTCTGCTGTGTCGCTGGTGCCTGCATGTGGCGATTGCTCAGCTTGTGCTGTGTTGGTTGCCCCTTGCTTTGCGTCACTTTCTGCTGGAGTTGCTGCTGGTGCTTCAGGTACTGCTTGGCTTGGAACCTTTGCGCAGTGGGCTGATGCCTTTGGCTCTGCAGCTTCCGCACTACTTGGTGGAGTTGCTGGTGTTGCTTCAGCTGCGGGAGCTACTGCTTGGCTTCGAACCTCTGCAGGAGGCTCATGGGCTGCTTCTGGTGGAACTGATGGCTCAGCCCAGCTGACACGTTTTTCCTTGGGGGGATGCTGCTCACTTTGGCCTGCTGGTGACCTATGCTCCTCGGGTGCTGACTCCGGGGCAGGTGCTGGTGGGGAATGCTTCTCAAGTGTTGCTGGTGAGAGATGGTCTTCAGGTTGTGGCGGCGGTGTGGGCTGAGGTGGCTTCGGCAACACGGGGGCAATGGCCTTGGCTGGCGGTGGTGTGGGCTGAGCTGGCTTCGGCATGGCTGCGGGTGTGGGCTGAGCTGGCTTGTGCAACACAGGCGTGATGGCCTTGGCTGGTGGGGTGGGCTCAGGAGTGGCACCTTCAGGTCGCGGTGGGGGCGGTGCCAGCTTCAAGCGTGTTGCAACAAGAGGTGGTGGGCCAGGTGTGGAACTCTTGGCCGCTGTTGGCACTGCTGTTGCGGGCTTCGGCTTTGTTGCGGGCCGACTGCTGGGATCGTCAGCACAATGTTTGGGGGAGAGTGACAGTTGCAACCGACGTTTAATGGAAGGGTTTGGTGGAGGTGGGGGTGGCGACTTAAGGGATGTTTGGGTGCTGCTGCGTGAGTAGACTGCTGGTGATAGGTGCCTAAGCATGTCGCTAAGAAAAAAAACATACATTGCCACATTCATAGAACTATGAGCATGAAGCATCAATGGCTCGTTCTATGGTAGGATATCCCGAAAATTCCAATTGTTTATAACTTTATATGACAAGTCAAAGATGCTTCACACACAACACTCTTGTGCATGCCATGTTGTATCCCAAGACCCCAGCTTGTCCAGGTCTAAATCGGAACCAGCGTCAAAACCCCCAGGCAACAGGTTCGGCCAACCCACTTTAGGCACTGAAGACGTCTCAGAGTCCTGGCCAAACAGTATTGCATTTTATAATAACATACGGTGTCAAACATGTGTGGATCACCTATTATGTTTGCCTTGGATTGCTGCATGGGACCCATCAAAAATCCTCGAGGCTACTGTTGCTTCTGGTAGGTGGACAGGAAGTGCTACCCGTAGGAGATAACAACCGCTTCTTGAGAGGCGGAGTGGATTCGACTGCCATGTCCACTGCCGAACATGAAGGCAAAGGCTCTGCCTTAAGTTACCATGCAATAAACAAAAAACAATGCCAATTCGAACATCACCCACCAGTTGACAATGGCCCACCATAGCTCAGTAAAGCTACACATCCATTCCATGTTGCAAAGAAACTACGGATTTGCCCAGCAAGTGGAGGACTCCAACAAAGCTTTGGACATGGAGCTTGTTTAGAAGCCTTACCATTCAAACAGTGAGAGCATGCAAATGGTCAATGCAGGACAACACCACACCCTATAAAGTGAAACAATACATGACTTCATACATCACCAGTCAGCAGGCATAGTGCCACCCAAGTCACCATTTCAGAGCACAAGCCAACGTCAAGGCCCACGGAGAAGAGAACCCAAATGAGCTCTGGGGGAACACAATGGCAACATATTACATATTTGTTCAACTGTTGCTAGCCATGAACATACCGCATACCAGAAAGTAAGTATACAATGGTGTGAACAAAATGTCAAAATGCTGGTAAAGCAATAATAACCTATATTTTTGGATGCCATTCATTTATGGTAAAGTCACATGGATAGGTTGCTATTGATTTACCAACATTCACATGGGAAATGGCATTCGTCCTATTTTTTGGAGCCGGTCTCTCATGCCGCGACCGGTTTCGGTCAATCCTTTCCGATGCCTTTCCGATGCCGGTACCTCGCGGGCCCTCAAAACAATAGTAATTTGAGGGCCCCATCAGAAAGCTTTCCGATTTTCCCGATGCCTTTCCGATGCAGTTCCGGGGTTTCCGATGTAGGTATGGTTCCCTAATAGTGATTTCCCTACGGGCCCGGGGCACTTAGGCATCTCTTAATTGTAATTGAATTTTGTATGTCATTGATCCCTTTCAAAAAAGGAATTCATGGGACATATGCATCCCAATTTCATACACGGATGGATTGGGAAATTCCAGATACCCTACCCAATCCTCAGGGTTCAGTCGCCATGTTGGCGTTTGCGTCGAGCATGTCGAGCGTTGAGGTAGTCAACGAGAAAGCGCTCGACATCGCCCAGCCTAAGTCCCAGGAAGGGGTCTGCATGAAATGGGATATGAAGGAAGAAGGGGGAAGAAGGAATGGTCAATGGGAAATTCAAGATCCTAAAGTGGAGGTACTGTACCATATACGGCCATATTTTCTGGGGATATTCCCTTACATAGGCCTTATATATGGTAGGTACCTTCAATTTAGGTTCCTGAAATGGCCATTGAAATGGGATAGAATATGATAATTATCATGCAACTATGGTTTCCAACAGGGTGTTCCAAAGTAAGGATTCCAAGCATTTTCTATTAATTGGAAAATGGGGGGTGCAATAAATCAGGTTGCCAATCTCTTGTCGTGACTGCCTATTTTCTTGAAATCATTGGTGGTCACGTTTCAAATTTTCTATATAGGATGGTTATTTGGAATTTATTGAAGAGGGGCTTCGCATCCTCCCACGGGTCGTTGGTGTAGTCAACGTGGGATGGCCAGGTAGGAGCTGCAGCGGTTGTAGTGTAGAGCCGACATACCTGGGCAGCTGTGAGAAAACATACATAATGCCATAATGCAATAGTATATTATAAATATATAGTGCATAATATATGTATATTATAGATATACACTATATATATATATATATATGCGTATATATATATAATAATAATAGTATTTTCCAGTTGGTTTGGCACCCCGAAAAAAGGCCCCAGGAACCCACCATATATGTAGGAAAACTATGGGAAAAATGCTATTGGGAATATACTTGTGGGGACCTTTTTTTGGGGTGGCAAACCACCAGGAAAATTACAAGTATACACATATTATGTATATAAATGTAAATATATATATATATGTGTGTGTGTGTCATGTTTTATTGGAATTTACCCGAAGACATGAACATAAGGATCCATGTTTCCTAAACCTCGTGGACCAACAATATCGAAATTCATGCCTGCTGTGGTGGGGGCAACAGAAGTTTACTGTAGGGATTCCGACCTATCTCATCTATAGCTTTCGAATTGGCATGGCATGCTGAGGCCAAACAGTTCATCCACTACTGCAACCAGAAGGCTTCACGGCCAAAGGATGGGGGATAAACTTGAGTGCGCTTTAGTTTACCTCCGGCACCCTTGAATCTCTTCCGACCTTGACTGTCCCAATAGACCACTGTGGAGTCGCTGGGCTCGAACTTGCTCCGATCTAGCCGCCTGCAACAGTCGGATATTTGTATATATGTATATATTTCAAATTGATTTATATATATATATAATTAGTTATTGATTTTTATTTAGTAACTTATGTATGTTAAAAATAGTTTATGCTATAGCCCTCCCATGGTCCACTTGTTATAACCCTTCGTTGACATATCCCTTCCCATGGACATTGCATTGGCAGGCCTGGCCAGTTGTTGTACACAAGGATCTGAAGAAACCAAGAGGACAGGTTTCCATGTCTTTGCTCCAAACATTCCAAGATACGTTTTGCACTCAAAGATCTCATGGTGCATGAGGAGTTCTCGAAGACGTGGATGAAACCAAATCTGAGTTCAAAGGATGTAAAATCGGGGAAAGAATTCGATCATATGATTCCAACAATTGCACAATTGACAGTTTATTTTTTTTCAGTCTTGAGAACCCCAAAATGGATGTGCAAGGGCCCACATGGAATTCAAGTTTTCTTGCCATTCATTGATGAATGCAAAGGTATCAAAACATTGTACTGTCTTGCACGGTTTGCGGCTGCATGTGTAAATTCGGGATAAATTAAGGTGAGCACCAAACTCTGCTCTGGATTCTCAACCAACCAATGGATGCCACGGTAGATGCATAAGTACAAGATGAGAGCCATCTCAGCGCTGCTACTGGTGTGAAAAACTGCCAGGAGGAAAATCAAAGCCATTTGGTACTACTGATGCATGCTTGAGGCCGTGACGCGGCTCACCATCAAGTTTCCACGGGAAACGCTGGGAAAGTGCCTGCATGGTCAACAAATAATTGAACACAATGTTTCTCCATATCCAGAGATCGTTTTCACATATTATATTTATATATATGTATAAAGGATATTCTTTGTTATTACATGGGGATTTTTACCTGTGGAGTTTCAAAGCAACCGTTTAGAATTAGAACGGTTGAATGGTTCAAGGTTGTGCATGTTTAATGCATCCATGGTGCTCCCGTCCAAGTGGAGCCTGTTCAGTTCTTCCACTTGTACCTCCTAGGCCGTGCAAAAAGCACGAGACAACATGGTTAGATACATACATAAATGGTTTCTTTGACGTTGATCTGTTTGCAAGTGGTGATCCATGGTTACTCCATCATGTAGAAACCTCTAAATGAGACACACTTTCTATCATGACAGGGTTCGATTGACTATGCTCCAGCTCGAGCACAAAATCCCAGCTGCCATGAGGCCTCCCCTCTTGACATTCAAGATGCACCATAGCCACCGAAGGAAGCCCATGTCGTCCAAGATATCCTCCATTCAGTACGGGCTGTTGTGACATAACCCATGCATGTTGGAAATAACCGTTGCATGATAACATTCAACCAATTTTTATCAATTGGTATATTCGTGATTGCTCGATCAAGTCAAATGGATTTCGAACCAGAGGTTATAACGCTTCCATGAAATGACAAGCTGGATTCAAGATATTATATAATTCTTCTATCGTGCATCCCATGCATTGGAGTTGGGGCCATGACCAAGGCTGACTGACCACGTAAACACCACATCGCATATCATATCATCTTTTCGGGGGGAAGTGTTGTATATACATATAATGTGGAAAATTGCTACGTCATGCTAATTCCGTGATTCCCGAAAACCAACTCACCCAAACCCACAGCAACCACCCGAAACTGCGCATGCTGCCAGATTTCGTCTCGCTGGTCCAATTCGAAGTCCAAGGCGGCAGCGCGCATGTTGTTGCGAATGAATGCCTTCGATATGGCACACTTTCCTGCGAAGCAATCGGCCACAGAAAATGGCCGCATAGGTTTGAAAACTCGCAGCATCAGCGAGACAATGCACCATAGTCTGGCAGGGATGTACCCACGGTGAGTCGGCCCCTTTGGCATTCTGGGAATGAAATAAGGGCCATCATCAGAGTCATCTTTTCCACGGTTTCGACTCAACCTAAACACATGTGAAATCATTTGACAGGAAGTATTTTTCCACCAGTCGCATGATTCAATTAATCTTCAGTGTGTTGTGCAATCTCACTAATGCGACCAGGGAAACTCAAAGGAATCTCCCTTTGAAATTACCTGCTTTTTCGCTGTCACTTTCTTCTTGGGCGCCATGGATCCTTACATAGAATGCTGGATTTCCCCATTGATTTCCCCCCATGTGAACTGATGTGAACATTCATTTTTACCTTATACATGCACTTGCTACCCGGCCATGCAGGCTGAAAGACAAGAACCCTGGAAAAGCAAAGACCACTTGGCAGGACCGTGCAGCCGAGATTCAGGGGAGAGGAGCGGGCAAGTATCAAGCTGTATATGGATTCGGGTATCTACCACTTATATGATCCAATGTGCGGGTTGTGATTCAGATCCAATGTGAGCTCACATATATGTGTTTAAGTGTGCATTCACAACGGCATTTGCAATGCAGCCTGAACTCATGTGATAATCAAACATAAATTTTGTTTCTTCGCCAACTCTGGTCCAGGATTGAAAGACGGCTTTGTGTGAACACCATGCACACTAGTTTTAAGTGTGAAACCCCTAAGCCGCAAACCGTCTTGAACTGCGCAGATTTCACTGCACAGACGCAGCAAACATATTTGTGTGGACTTGCCCATGGCTCTTAAACAAACAATTGATAAACACTTAATGATGTTCAAGATACAATGCAGGACTGTGAAACAAAAAAACATAGAGTCATGTACAGGGCAGCCCCCACCTAATTGCATGGAAATCATTCGCTTTCACCAACAAAAGAGCTGCCATTTGTTGGGACACCAAGCGACTATAGATGACCCTTTCATTAAAGGAAAATAGCAGGGCAAACTCAATCCACCTTCGCGGGCGATGAATCACCCGCAACTTCAGATGCTTCCACGGCCTTTCGGGGCTTGGGAATTCCACTCAAACTGGGCGACACCATGTTGTAGCGGCGGAGGATGGCCGTTGCCAACTTTCCTGCCTTGGCTGAATCATGGGCAATAATGGGGTGAACCTAGTGGCAAATAACTGCATGATGGTATTTTTTACATGGGCCTTTGGGAGATATATCTGCATGTATATATATATATAAACACGCACACAGACACGCACACACACACACACTCACACACACACATGGTATCATATACATACAGCTAAGGTACTTTCTTGGCCTCTTCAGCACTATTCGTAGATGCCTTGGCCCTTCGGTAGGCATTGGAATAAACTGTGTTGGTAGTGCAATGCGCAGGGGCTGGGATCCCATCAGCAGGTTTCTGAATGCTTTCATCACCCTCATCATGGGAAGGTGCTGCAGCCCTGGGTGCGGGCTTGACCTCGGGGGGTGATGCTCCCACAGCAGGTGCGGATGCCGTGCTTCGGGCTGGCGTGGGGACATGCGGGGATTCCACGGGCATTGACTCTGCTGGCTTACTGCTGGTCCTACGCTTCTTTGGCACAACAACAGGGGCTGTATCTCCAGATGGGGTGGCGGCGGAAGCATCTGCAGATGCTCGCTTCTTGGAACGGCGGGTCTTTCTCTTGGGTGTTGGCTCCAAAGCCTCAGGTGATCCCAGGGGGTCCTTGTCAACCAACGCAGGTGTGCTCTTCTTGACCTTTGTCTTGCCTGACTTCTTCACCTTTTTGGTATCCTTCGTTGCCTTGCTTCCCTTCTTTCCCTTTTTCTTGCCACCAGCTGCCTTCTTCACCTTCTTGAGTTTGCTACCCTTCCCTGGTTTTCGACCCCTGGGCTGGCCCTGTTCCGCATACACAGGGGGCTGGGCATCAGCAACATCCAAACTAATCTCATTCATCAGTTTGCATGCCTCGTCCATGTCAGCATCGGGCAGAGTGGCATCAGCAACTGCAACAACTTTGGGGCACTTGAAATTCTTGGCCAAGGGATCTGGGCGTGGCTCTTTTGGATGGGCCGCTGCCACCATGTCAATCTCTGCCTGCAGCAGGTTTGGAAAGAATGAGGTATGAAGGGAAGGGTTAAGTGTACCCTATGTGTTCCATGGAGGTGTAATACATTCAGGCTTGAGCATAAGTATACATAGATTGTGGTACACGCGGTGAAAAATGTAATGTGATGTGATGCCATGCGATGATCTGATACGTAGCAATGATGCACTGATGCAATGATGTAACACTTAGCTTCATGTATGTGATGAAGTGGTAGGCATATAATGCATGGTGATGTTTTGCACACACACTGAATATACATATGCTCCTGTCGTACGATGTATAATGTGATTCCATGTCCAACAAACATCTGAAGAGCACCATGTTATGGCGGTTTCAAAAGGGAGGGGTACCTTGAATTATCCAAAATTATGGATGAATTGCTGATAGAAACCCATGGTATTGAATTGGGGTACCACCACTGTAGGACACCTTCATATGGGTATTTCTCAAAATGGTGGATGCCTCAAAATACCATGAAAGGGTTTAATTCTGAGTATTTTCGAGCATGCACCATTTTGAGAAATACCTATGTACCCGGAAAAATAACAATAATGAAACCCTGTGTTTTGGGGTACCCTCACTTACGATCAGTATTTCTCAAAATGGTGGATGCTCCAAAATTATATTCAAACTTAAATCCCGCATATTTTCGAGCATCCTCCAATTATAGCCACCGCCCAGCCCGGCATCAGCAATGCCACCAGGATTCGATGGACGCTCGAGCAATCACTTCACTTCGTGAAGGGCGCGACGGGGCAGGCAAGCCACGATCAGCCTGGGGAGCCATAGAAGGTGACCATGGATTGTTGTTGGATGGTTTTAAATGATACAGTATAGCATCAAACCATGTAATTGTCATGCATTGATGCAATATTCCCACCCCCAAGTACCGGCCTCTTCATATTCAGAAATCTTCGGTTCCAGATTCAAGTGCTCAGTCCGCGTAGACATGGGAGACTTGGAACCAAGAGCTGTGTCATCTTGTTCCAAATCAATCCACGGGATAGTCTGCATGGTGTCAACACACATGGAGGGAGCTTGGGAGGCACTTGGTTCTTCCCCGGTCTGGTCCATGTATCGTTTAAGGATCTCTTCATCCCACTGGGACTCTTGTTGCTCTAGAAACTCGATCGCCTTTCGACGTTCAAGGCCCTTCTCAACGGTAGAATCGGTAGAATCTGGTTCTGTCTCAGCTACTGTCTTTGGGGTGGTTGTCTCTGGAGTAACTGAGTCATTCTTCTGGGGTGGGCTGGAGGTGGAAACCACACATTCCCCACATCCTTCAAAGTATTCGATCATCTTGTGATGGATGAGGTATTGGTCAGTCCCATGAATCTTGCATAGGTCAAAAACCACGGTAATTTCTTCCCACAGGTCGTCAGTCATGTCGTCAGGTTTGTTCTGGATCAAATCAAGTTTTGTTGGGCAAGAGGTTGCAAAGGTGATGGCATCCCTAAGGGTCCAATCAGTACTCTTCTGCTTGCCCTCACCGTTGGAAGCAGCAGCCGCGGATAGTGATCCAGCTGACAGGTCCTGCGCGAGGCAGTAGCCAGCCATAGGGAGTATGATATTTTCACATTTTAGTATGTGTTATAATGTTCTAATATATACATAATATGCCGCAATGCCCGTGTACATGCATAGAATTTTGGTTCTTAAAATTGCAGATTTCCCCATCCCCACTTGCACCCACTCCTGCGCGATCGGTCGCTCTGGTTCGCTGTCGGAATTCAGCATGATTGGATCCGAAGCACCTTCAGTGCGGCACAAAAAAAACTTGACACGCATGATTTCTTTACATGCATAATCATATGCAAAACACATGCGGAATAGAAGAACATGTCTGGCACTGTTAGGTTTCGATTTGGACATATGTGAGCATATCATACCATAGCATGGTTCCCTTAATCCCCTGCCTGGTTTGTTCTTTCTGCAAGATGCCCGCGCCCTACGGGGATTGTGCTTGAGCACCGCTTTGAGTTGCTGCGCGACTGGAGTTTGTGTGCGACGCTTCAAGGCCTTACGCCAATACCTTCTACCAAACGAAAGAAGAGCGGTCAAAATGTAAGCTTCCTCAGATTAAGCACACATAGGAGAAACAAAAAACATGTGCAAACTCAATTAACATACAATATCATACAAACAGTATGGAACTATAAAAGCGACACCCACCCTCAAGTCTAGGATCATTGGCTGCCCATTGCCGTCTATCTTTTTTGAATCTAGCCTTGCTCAGGTTGTACTGGCCTTCGCGATCTAAATGCTTGAAAACATTCTCAATGTGTGGTCCAGTAAACTCCCCTTAGTTGCATTCAGGTTGACAATCTATTATATACACATAAAGGGGAGACATACGCACGCGTATACAGAAAGAACAACATAGAATTACGATAATATATAGATAAACTAAAATACCAAGCCACCTTCTGGCGAAACTTCGAACAGCCCAAGAATGAGAGGAAGATAGGTTTCCAAGTCCGAATAGCCGACATTAAACGAGCAAATGTCAGGGAATAACGTGTTGTCTGGACGTTTCGTTTGGCTGCAAGCGATGAATGCTTCCACTGGCAGGTGCAACTTGATGGCACCTCAATTGCCCATACCGATTGTAAATGAAAAAATAATTACCCATTGGGGATTTAGAACCACATATGACATCTTAAATATGCTGAATTCCTCAGGGAGAAACGTTCAATTTCCTTTTCGATGCCCAGCAATGGGGATGCCAAATCATCTTCGTCACCCATGGCGATGACCCACCCAAAACAGAATCTTGAGCCCTTACATGGCAGGGTTGTTTTGTTAATGCCAGCCCCACATTCCATCAGCTCATGACCACCATCCCAGCAGTCCTCTCTTGCAATGGCGAGGCATCCGTGGAAATGCTGGGTGAGATGGACCAATGCGCAGCCCACGCCATGGAAAATATTGGCCCGGTTCAGGGTGTCTACGTGTGGCTGAAAGGTTGTCCCTGTTAGATGCATGGTATCATATGTTATCTGTAGACTGATTTACTTAAACTTAGGCGATATCCTATGACCATAGCTTGTGCCCCTATTAGATGCATCATATTATATGTAATCTATCGATTGATTCACTTGATCTTGGGTTGACTTCCTTCAACATCTTTCAATATCATTATGTTCATGGCTCTACATGGTTGTGTCATGATACATCGTCTAGGCCAAGCTTGAGATGGCCGCCTGGAACCCTTGGGGCCCTCGCGGGCCCTCGGCTCTAAATCTTGAGGGCCCCGACCCCTCACCCAGCATGCCGAGGGGTCCGACCCCTGCTATGGAGGGTCCGACCCTTCCCTAGGAGGTACCCAAGATCCTTAGGGATTGTATGTATATATATATATATATATACAATATGTATATTGGTATATGGATTGTTGTTCTAACGGTGTCATATGTGTTTTGTTGCTTCATATGGTTGATGCCAAGAAATATGGTTTGCCCAACTGTTGGTTGGTGTTTGCCACATTGACAAATATCGGATACGGATATACTGGGATTTACCACCTAAACGTGTCCAATAATCATAAAGAGCCACACTTGGAGATATCCAATACGAGGTGGTGCCCCCAGTTTTAAGTTGGTGTATAATCATCCTTACTTGTGGGCTGGTTGGTGGTTTGGAACATTTGGATTATTTTCCCATATATTGGGAATGTCATCATCCCAACTGACGAACTCCATCATTTTCCAGAGGGATAGGTATACCACCAACCAGTCCTTCAACCACCCAAACTTCCAATCTTGGCTATGTTCTAATGAATGGATGTTTATACCCTCTGGTAAACATCATTAATTGTGGGTATATCTACAATAAGCCTGAGTTTTGTTACTTAAGCAAACTTAGCCGACTAAGCGACTATGAGCACCACCTGATACCAATTGGTGCCATGTATAGTTGGAAAAAAAACTGGGCCATCGAAACATATCAAAAAAAAACACGCATATTAATTGGTTATACCCAAGCAGTGGTTGCCAAGCCTCTGCTGTTTGGTTGTGAAATGCGGAGTTATACTATCCAATATATGTGGAATTAGTCTGACCCATGGAACGATTTGGATAGATTTGGTGCGATTTAAAGATCGTGATTTTATCATCATGGGTTGTGGGCAGAAAAAGGATAGAATTGACGATGGTTGGTTGAATCTGTGGATTTTTCTGGATGATTATACCACCTGATTTTATGAGGTCTAGAATTGTGGATATGACTACAAGACATGGGAATTCGTCGTGGGATAACAGGCATATTTCTAGCTCCAAGTTACCCAAATTCAGAAAATTTACCTATACCATGAATCCATCGTACTCCAGACCTGTCTCTTTGGACCCATTGTTTTCCCAACCTGTTTCCCTGTGTGTGACATGTTTCACACCTCTGAATTGACTGGTTGCGGTGGGAAGACCTTTCAGCTCAATTTGGAAATTGTTTGGCACCATGTCGATGCCTTGTGTTGTTCCTGAAATGCTATGGAGCCTGGATGAGCTAAAGCGTGCCCTGATAAGTGAGTTTCCCATTTTGGAGACTGAAGTAGGAGAGGGTTTCAAAATATTGTTTGACTTGTTTGCTGAATGGGCTGAAATGAGCCACCGTAAAAACCCCGGCAATACTAAATATGTATTGGACGGACATTGGTTTATGGAAATGGATGGAAATTGTTAAAAACACACGGTAAGCGATGGGACCTTCCCAAATTAGCGATACCCCTTTTCAAGGTTATGTCTTTGTATTTCTCTTATATCCACATTAGCGATACCCAAATTGGACGTTGATTTCTGTGAATTATATATTTAAAAACGTAGCAGTTTCCTGCAAGCGATACCCCCCAAGTTTACCATATATCATTATTGTACAAACGTGTGGTAAGCGATGGGACCTTCCCAAATTTGTGGATGTCCTTTCCCTGAACCTAGGGTTTTCGAGATTGCTCAAATCCTGTTAAACTACAACAACCAGCATCCGCTTTGTTGAATTTGGGGAATTGTGGCCCAGAATCCTTCTCTCAGGGGATTTCCGGCCGCGCATAATCATGTGGCATCGCACTCGGGGGGTGTCATCGCACTCCAGAGGACCCCATCGCACTCCACATCCATACAGATCTTCGTACTCCACAAAAGGCATCGTATACCAGAAAAACCTTCGCATACAGCCAAAAACCATTTTTTTAAAAAAAATGAACCTGAAGAGGTTGTTTATTTTTTCCCTCTTCGGAAGTAAAATGCTCTGGAATATGATAATATGGAATATGGGGGAAATCGTTGTTTTTCCAGCGTTTTGAAGAGTCGCGCATACAATCGTATTCCATCAAATTTTGATACTTTAGACCTGTGAAGGCTATGGAAATCCTCGGTTGTGATGTTAGTCGTGCAGGATGGAGTGTGATGCTTTGTGGGTATATGGAATGGAATTTCTGACCCCAATTTGATCAAAAAAGGTGTCAACATATGCTTGAGAATCCCAGATGAAGGACTGGCAACGCATACCAGGGGGGCATCGTACTCCAGGGGTGGCATCCTACTCAATGTAACTGTATTAAGTGGAAATATGGTACCATTTGGGTTCGAGGAAGAACAGCGAAATCCAGACTTGGCCCAGTTTACGGATGCGGAAGCTGAACCGCCAGCCAAACGCGTCAAAAAAATAAGCTGAACAGCTTATCCAATGGTCTTCAAAGATCCTAGAGAGAAGTTGATGATTGATGAGAGAAACACAAGACTTTATGTTTAATTATTCAAGAAATCATTGCTTGAGAAGCTGTGGGCTCAAAGGATCTTAGCAGGGTTAAACATTTGCGATTTGACATGACAGCACGTGACAAGGGAAAAGGTGTGCGCCTGCCAAGGGTCACACAACCTCATTCTTACCATCAAAGGTCGTTCATGATTTTGCGGAGCTATTTTGGCATGGAATATGAACAGCCTTGGAATATGGGTAAGATTTTGCTAGAATATTATATAGATATGATCACTAAAAAGATGAATTCTGCGGGATATAGATGCATATAGTGAAAGCCTGGCACGGGAAACAAGGACGCGAACTTCCCATATCCATGGGTCAAAGATTTGTTGCCACGGACGCCTGCTTCCCAAGAATGGTCTGAGCACCATGCAGCAGCTTCTTCACATACTTTCACTGCACCAATGGCATCCCCTCGAATGTTTCAGACACAGAAGCGTTCTGCGGCAGCTCAAGATGTACCCATGGGGTCGGCAAATGACGTACCCATCGGATCGGACCACCATGCGAAGGCACGGATGACCTATGCTCCAGCACCTCGATTAATCAATGTATGGGGCGAAACAATTTGTCCGCGGCTCTTAGAAGTCTCAAGTTTGTTGGTTTGCAAACTGGAATATCACAAACTGATGTTTGGTATATCATTAATGTTAATAAAGTGGTAGTTAAAACAGTAATAAACAATCCCCCAAATCACCACAAATAGGTGGTATGAACCATCAAACATGCTGAACTTCCATGATGTTCTTGGGATTTTCTTGGGACATTTGACAGGAAAAACTTAAGTGGTTGGTGGTTTGGAACATGTCTTTTTCCACCAGCCCAACTGACGAACTCATATTTTTCAGAGGGGTAATTATACCACCAACCAGCATAAAGTTTCTTCAAAGTTGAGGTTTCCTAAAAAAACATTCCCTTTATCCAATTTGGGGATGGATAGCTCAATAGCCGCTATGACTATTGCAGGTGATTTGGCATGGGTTGAAAGTATAACCAGATACCAATCATATTGCATACATATTTATATATATATATATATATGTAATATATATACATATGTATGTATGTATATATAAATATATATATATATATGTCTATTTATATGTGTGTAATATGTCATATATATATATATACATATAGATATTGATGGTTTTCTTTTTGAGCATCCCCGCTGCATGCCCAGGAAGAGTACCCTGACCAGCGAGGACTTCTATGGAGCCTATGAGGAGGGTTTTTTTGGTGAAAACCTCGGTTATGTCAAAATAACTATTGAAAATTGGCCATTGAAATAGTTGATTATGTTGATTTACCTCTTCAAAATGGTGGATTTTCTATGGTTGTGTTAAGTTTTTTGTATGTTTACCAGAGGGTTTTTTGGGGATTATTGAAAGGGCATTATCACAATCCATGGGGCAATTCCGAAACACCAAGGGCACCATCCGGTCAAAAGTGGCAGAAATCCATCGATAGCCTCTGGTTATGGCTGACAGTTTGCCACGGGAAATGGCCCATAGGAATAGATGGTTTACCGTTCTTAAACATGGTGGATCTTTCCATGGCAAACTGTTAGTCATAATCAGATGGTAGATCATTTTGCCAGCAACAAGGGCACCTCCAAGGGATGTTCCACACGTTTGCCACGGGGTCCCTTCTGGTCATACAAAAAACGAATTGGAAAGATCCACCATGCTATAAATAGGTAAACCATCTATTTCTATGGGCCATTTTCCATAGCTATGTTGGTTTGCCAGGGGGTATTTTTTTTTTGTGGGGGTCTAAGCTTGACCCATCTCGACCTGGGTCAAATTTGGGGGAACCTATCGACAAATCCAGGAAAAAATTGCAACATGTGGGAGTAAATGGCATAGGAAGTGGGGAACCACCGCTAATTTGGAGGAGATGTAGATTTGCCTGTAGGAAATGACACGTTTCAAGAAAGGAACATCAATCATGATACCCTCTGGTAAACTAACAGTTTGCTATTGAAAATGACCATTTATAGTTGATTTACCCATTAAAAATAATGATTTTCCATAGTTTTTGTATGTTTACCAAGCCGGGTAAATTGGAAGCTTAAAACCAGCCATGGTAAATCGAGATTCCCAGATTTGGCCACAACACATTCGGATAAGTTGACCAGTGCAAATTGGTCACTTCAGATATTGAGTACCCTCTGGTAATTTAACATAGCTATTGAAAATCACAATTTATAGTGGATTTTCCCATGAAAAATGGTGATTTTCCATAGCTATGTTAAATTACCAGAGGGTAACCACATTGGAGATTAACATTTGAAACTGGGGATCGCACCATCAAACATTATGATGTTTCTTGGGTGCACTGACTAGGGAAAGGAAGATGAATGTGTGATTTTTGTGCTTATAAACGATGGAATATGTGATACAATGTGGTGCCCCACAGTTAGCGAAGTTGGTTTATACCAAGATATCGCCACAATTAATGGGTTTATAAAGCAACAAACATAACTAGGGTTGACACTGCCTTGTACCCAGCTCGGCAAGATTTTTTCTGAGTATTTGCCACAAACCATTACATGAAAGGATTATCATACCATAATTATCAATGGTTTATGCAGCCAATATCCAATGTGGTTGGATTTCTTTGTGGTGATTGCTGCAGACCATATCCTGAAAAACCTCACAGAGATTTAGCATTGCAAAATGGTCTGGAAAATTATCTATTGTTTGACAACTGTTTTACAATATTGTCTTAGTATTTTATGCAAAAGTATGGGGTTGTCAAACAATTTTTCCATTAGTATTTCTACTTCCACTGTTCCTTCCTACTTTTATTCTGATTATGTCCTCATCCAACGCCATTCACAACCCCAAAAAAGATCAATATACGATTAATATATTAAATTCTCCGCTATTGTCCCTTATATTCCCATATATATATATATACAACTATTATTATTATTGGTATTATTATTTTTATTATTATTATCTATTCATATTATTTGATAATATGTATATGAATAATATATATAATATATATATATGTGTAACATTCATTAGATGCCCCCATTTTATGAATAAAAACATGTTGAAAGCAAATCATCTCCTTAGAACCCCATTAGAACTCACATTTTTCAATTATCCATTATTTTCATTGAATTCATATCCATTGGTATGAAAAATTGATTGATATATTTACTATATGAATAAAAAATCATTTATTTACTATAATGAATCACTATGTCCACTCATTTATTATATTATTAGCCATGGAGAATTGAATTCATGCCCACTATCCATCCATAAATTACACATGAACATGGCCATAAAAACATAGGAGAGTAATCCCACATGGGAATGTTTATGGAATTTCCATAACGAATGAATATAACCATTTCATGGTAATGTAACATGTCGATACTGGGAATATAACCATTTCCATATGGATATATGTTGGGAATAGAACAATTTCCATTTCCATTCATCCACATGGTAATATCCTTTTTTTCATGGTCATTCTGAATGAATGGTAATTGATGGATGGTAATTCATATATCATGAATTACTATCCCCCCAAAAAAATACCATCCATTTACCATCAATTTGTTTGGCTCATCCATTGAAGTCCATATAGGTTTTTTCCATATTTTGTTCGGTCATTCGTCATGTTTTTCCATGGTTTTCTCTGCGCCCGTTTTTTGCGAGGCCCAAGACATGGGAAAGAAACATTCCGCGGAACTGAATGTCAAGGTGGTGGACTACCCCAACATGGTCTATGTCGCTGGAACAGAACAATCCAAGCAGATGAACAGGTGAAAACCACGTGAACAAAAAACATAAAGGGATTGTTCAGAAAAACACCAAGGGATGGATATGTTGTGAAGCATATGAACTTTTGTGAACCATCACAGGTTAGAATTTAGCCATGTTGGGATTCAGCCATGAATATGATTATTCCATTAAACAAATGAATCATCACAGATTGGAATGTTTGAAAAATGAACAGTTGGGATTGAACTATCAAACTAATTTGGGATGGAATCAGAACAAAAATGATGGTTTGAACCTGCATGGTTTCAATATGACTATGGAAATGTGGGATTAAAGCATCGAACCTATGCGGGACTTATGCATGATGAAATGTGGGATTCAAGCAGAACACGTGTGGAATTTACCTTCAGGAATGGTGAAACAAAAGCAACTGTCCAAGGAAAATTGAATCGCACCAAGATAAACATATGGGATCAAAGAAATCATACTGGTGTAACCAGTAAACGTGGACATCTACACAGTACTTGGAGAATCATCGTAGGAATCATAAGTGATCAATAGCGGTTAATTTAAATGAAAACAACATATGTTTTATTATGATATGCAAATATAGTTATATTATAAATGATTATATTGTTATATTATGATGTGCACAATATAAGCTACAAAATATAAATATGGTTATAACCATTTATAACCCAAAAACAGAGAACATGTGGTTAAAGAAAATTACTTTACTTCGTGTGATCCCCACCATGACATTTATACATTTTCTTACTGGCAAATCTTCTGGCATTCTATCTGACATATTTTCTGGCATTCGATCTGGCATTCTATCTGGCATATCTTCTGGCATTCTACCTGGCATATCTTCTGGCAGATGTTCTGGCATATCTTCTGGCAGATGTTCTGGCATATCTTCTGGCATATCTTCTGGCATATCTTCTGGCATATCTTCTGGCATATGTTCTGGCATATCTTCTGGCATTCTATCTGGCATATCTTCTGGCATATTATCTGGCAAATCTTCTGGCATTCCATCTGGCATTCTATCTAGCATACCTTCTGGCATATTATCTGGCAAATCTGCTGGCATTCTATCTGGCAAACATTCTGGCACTTTATCTGGCATATCTTCTGGCATTCTAGCTGACATATCTTCTGGCATTCTATCTGGCATATCTTCTGGCATATATTCTGACATATCTTCTGGCATTCTATCTGACATATCTTCTGACATTCTATTTGACATATCTATCTGGCATATTTTCTGGCATTCTATCTGGCAAATCTTCTGGCATTCTATCTGGCATATCTTCTGGCATTCTATTTGGCATTCTATCTGGCATATCTTCTGGCATATCTTCTGACATTCTTTCTGACATTCTTTCTAACTTTCTTCTGCACATTCTTTGTCCCATATCTTCCTACATGAGGTCCGGCAGGGACCACTGGGCGCGGATGGTCGCGGTTGAGGTCCGGCAGGGAACACTGGGCGCGGATGGTCGCGGTTGAGGTCCGGCAGGGAACACTGGGCGCGGATGGTCGTGGTTGAGGTCCGGCAGGGAACACCGGGCGTGGATGGTCGTGGTTGAGGTCCGGCAGGGAACACTGGGCGTGGATGGTCGTGGTTGAGGTCCGGCAGAGAACACTGTGGATCGCGGGTCGCAGTTGAGCAAGGACGACGAGGACGACGAGGACGACGAGGAGGACGAGGAGGAGGAGGAGAGGAGGACGAGGCAGGAGGAGGCGGAGGAGGAGGAGGAGAAGGAGGAGGAGAAGGAGGAGAAGGAGGAGGAGGAGAAGGCAACTGACATAAAATCTAACAACCCTCACCTGGCAGGTGGGGAAAAAACACAATGTGTGAGATTGAATCATTTTGGCATCTTTTGTTGTGGGTTTTATTTCTATAGTTGCTACCTTTATATGTTTATATATAATCATATATTCATTTTATATAGTTACTACATTTACATTTCTATAGTTACTTAGTTACTACAATACATTTATTATAGGATTTTTGCCACCTAAATTTGACTTGTCCTTGGGTTCACTTTAAGGTAGGAGCCGAGGGCAACGAACGAGGCCCGATCCGGGGGGGATTCCCGGGATCCCTTAGGGCCCTTGCGGATGATGCTGGGTGAACATGGGTATATTATGTATATTATATGATCCTCCCATATAATCCCAGATACTACTGATACTACTATGTGGTAAAAAATATGATGATCATAATACAACAATATCAACAATAACGGATGGTTTATAAATGAACATGTCAATGAAAATGGATGGGTTATACATGTTTTTAATGGAAAATCCATCTATAAATGGATAAATGTGGGATAAAAACCATGAGTTGATCTTGTGAATGTGTTTTCTTTTCTTGATGGTGTTTTTTCATCCACCCAACATATATAGTTATAATTACTAATAATCACCATAAACTGTAGATGAACAGGGGCCATGAAAGATTAATGTGGGGATCACAACCTCTGATTTTCCACGTGGGGATCAGTCCGTCCTGCCGTCCTGTCAGGTTATATGACCGATGTGGATGCCAAGGTGGGGGCATGGGGGTTTCGATATCTGGGCAGCTCGATGGTACTGGTTATATTATAATGTTATATATGTATATAATATTGATCAGCAACAACATATAGGGTACTATATTACTACACCACATTATTATATTGAAACACTATATATATATATATGATTTTTCAGTAACAACACATATTATGATCTATGCATATGATGTCCATCATTTTTGTTCCAGTAAACCTACAATGAAATGATATGAGCCATGGCTGATTTGCGGTTCTCTTCAGAGGTCTAAGTTGAAATCCTGTGTGTGTGGTTATCCCATATACGCCTCATTTTTTTGGCCATATGGTCATATTAATAAACTTACACAATAACTTACATGTTTTTGATGATTTTGAGAGTTATCATAACTGTGATTATCTCGTCTATGACTGGACCATCCGACCACCCCCCAGTTTTCCGTGAACATGCGAGGCAAAGGGGTTGAAGATCAACAAACTTTCAGGGACGGAGTGCCTTGGAGAGGATCAGAGTGTGAGATATGCCTAGGCAAATTCGAGTTGATTAAGTATGACTTTGATATAATTATTCTAGATGAAAATTGTTACCAGATGTTGTTATGAAATACTTTTGTCAGAGCCGCAAAAGTAGAAACACCAATATCCCATAGGATCCATGTATGCTATATATGGTAACACTTACCATCAATATACCCCAAATGTTAGCATATATAGCATACATGGATCCTATGGGTATTAGTATGGTTTCTAGATGTTGGACTTATGGATTGAAACAACTGACACATTCATGGACAAGCCTCAAGCTGATTTTATCAACAGTTGAATGCGGTTTACTGCAATTGTTTTTTGACCAAGAGAAACTTCTAAATCGGGAAACTCATGGATTTCTGCGGCAAACAAAACAACTAGGTGCGGTAGTTGACTTGATGTTTTTGTTGGTTTCATCCCAATTTATGTTGCCCCATTTCTCAGCCATTTGTGGAGGGATGCCATCCATGGGATTTATCATCCAGCTATGGGGGTAGCCCTATTTGGGGTAGCCCGCCTCCATCAATGGGTATCATATGTTCCTGATATGAATGGCATACTAATGGTTAATGAATACCAATGGTATATGAATGGGATATATTCATGGGATTTGATATTAGTTGTCCTTTTATTGTAATTTTAAGAGGCATGCTTTTTGGGATTTTCAAGCACAACATCGCTTTTTTCGAAAGTCGTGTTTTTGGTTTCGACCTGCCTAAGTAAGAGCATATTTAACGGGCATGTGTTAGATTTAACTGGTAATTGTTAAGAGCATTTACCCTCTGGTAAACTAACATAGCTATTGAAAATGGCCATTTATAGTGGATTTTCCCATTAAAAATTGTGATTTTCCATAGTTATGTTAGTTTACCAGAGGGTAACATTTAACGAAGACCTATGTCATGGTTGGCTTGACTTCACCGCCGTGACCCTGGCGTGACCCAACACAGCTGTCTGGTGAGAAAGATGATCAGCATGTTGACACATCGCCAGCAGGTCTAAACTTAACCGCATTGGAATACCAAACGGTGTATGAATGAGAGTTGTGGAAAGGTTGTTGTTGTTGTTGTTGTTTGTTTGTTTGTTTGTTTGTTGTTGTTGTTGTTGTTGTTTTTTGTTTGTTTGTTGTTTTTTTTGTTGTTGTTGTTTTAATTTAATATGTTTTAATATGTTTTAATGGCAAAAAGCTTCCCATGAGAGTGGAACACAAGTGATGGGCGCTGCTTCAGACCTCGCGGATGCGGCGCTAATATGGGCTGTGAGAAGCGATGGTACCTTTTATCGCCCTGAGCTCTGGGCGATCTCCAAAAGATCACACCAGAAATAAATCGTTTTTCACTAACCATAAATAAGAACATGGGATACTTACCCTTGCTAAACATCACTCCAGGTCGCAGTGAGGTTTGTGTCACCATGTGTCACCCAGTATTGGGATCATAAACTTCATAGGCTTATAACCTCTGGTAAACTAACCTAACTGTGGAAAGATCCACCATTTTGTAGCTGGGTATATCAACTATTTCGACTGGGCCATTTTCCATAGCTTTTTGTATGTTTTCCAGGCCGGGTAACTGCTGAACGGAACAGTGCTGGCCATCTCAGGATGTTGCGAACGCGGGTCCAGTGCATTTGGCCCCAATTCAATGGGAGATCTTCAGGATCCTAAAATGTAGGTACTGTACCATATTTTTGGCCATATTTATTGTGGATATTCCGTTACATAGGCCTTAAAAAAAGGCCTTATATATGGTAGGTACTTACAGTTTAGGTTGCCTGAAATGGCCATTGACCAATCCTTTGTTTGTTTGTATTTGCCCGTCGGGATATCCTTGATATCAATAATGGATACAATTCGCAGTTTTAATGGGATTTAATTTAAGGGCAATCTACAATGGATATAACTGGATATAACCCAATGTATCATTAAACCCCAAATCACATGATCTAATATGCTTGTTCTTGTTGCATCGTCATTAATTGGATATAACCCAAACATGATTTTATGAAGTTAATCCGGTTTTGATAATAATCAAATATTTGGGGTTGTTTAACCATATTTATGGCAACCCAATTTTCTTATTGGTTATGTTGTGATTTAATAGGGAAGCTAATGGAGTTTTGATTGGATGTCAATGGAACCAAGAGGATGCACAATCAACCATCATAGTGATATACTGGGGTATTGACCACTTAATAAAATGGAGTTAGAATTCATGAATTCCGGATGAATTTTGATGCTCAATAGAATCCATGTATGTTGAAAAGAAATTACCATCAGATAAACTGATATATATATATATATATATCTGGAAAACCCTACCATTTACAGATGAGTTCCTTGCTATAAACCTCCATTCAGTTCGGGGATTGTCCAGCCAAGTTTGATGACACCACCATGGACTTGCCATTGAATCACGTTATCTCCCATGATATCCAATTATATCAACTATATCCCATTAGAATCATGTCGGTGATACCCATATGTTCCCATTATTTGAATCAACTGAATCATCTTCTATATCCATTTTCAGATCATGTTATCTCCTACAGGATGGTGCCCCCCAGTTGTAAGTTGCTTTATATATCAAGTTATATCTACCATAAACCACAGTTAATTCAGCCAGTTATTTAAAAGGCAACTGAACGCGAGCTCGAACGGGGGCCCCATCCTGTATTATTATATATTATTATTCTACTATTACTATATTTGCCATATATGAGTGATCTTTTAATTTCAGCCATTTACATCATTGGATATCTATATTATCAAAAATAATGATATCATAATAGATGGTTTTTCCCCCATATAATATGAACTCAAAATATAAGAATAATCCCGTTTAAATGGTATATGCAGATATTTTGTTTTCCAGTAAATATTCCGTGATAATGACATCTATTTATGCAACAAAAGGACATATGAATCATATTATTAAATATCCCCGAATGGAACATCATAAAAATATTTCGCGAATTCCATGATGGCTGTCATCATATTTTGGTGACCACCCAGCTGTTCATCCCGGCCGAACGTTGCGAGGTTTCGCAAGCGACTTCGAAGCGGGGAAGAGATCCCCGAGTGGTTCGCCTTCCCCAAAGTGGTGCAGGCGCCGCAAAACGGCCTCCAGGGCTGATGTCATAATGGGTTGCTGCTTTACAAACATCATTCAAACATCATTCTGATTGGTGGTTTGGAACATTTTGTATTTGTCCATGTATTGGGAATAATCATCCCAACTGACTTTCTTATTTTTTAGAGGGATTGAAACCAACAACCAGTCATTCAACCACCCAAACTTCCAATCTTGGCTATGTTCTAATGAATGGATGTTTATACCCTCTGGTAAACATACAAGAAGCTATTGAAAATGGTGATTTATGTTTGATTTACCCATTAAACATGGTGATGTTCTATAGTTATGTAACAGTTTACCAGAGGGCAGTGGGTTACTGCAACCCAAACAAAAGGTAAATATATGGGTAAATGATCGCCAACAGGAGGGGGGAAATATTGGTCATGTTACCGCTATATTTGATATATGTACCTCTCGTGTTTGTTTGTTTGTTTGTTTGTCTTAATGAGGCTTAAAGTTTAAGCTGATTTCGAATAAATATAATACATATATATATATGTTTTACAGGTCTTGAAATCTGGAAATTAAGGTTTATCAAGACAAACCCATTTTGGGTGGTTGAATCATGTTTCATGAAGTGTCCATCATGTCTTGCCGGGGTAGTGTAATGCAATATGATACAATCTGCTGTAGTATGATGCTTGACAATGTTAATTTATTTTCCATTATCTTTTAATTAGGTTTCATTATGTGGTCATGACACTAGATGATGTTTAAGTATGTCCAATGGATCTTAACGTTTCGTCTGTTTGTTGCTACGTGGCAATGGATGAACTTGCCCACAGGGTCACTATACAAGGTGATGCTCCCTACTTGAAAAGTCATCCCATGAATCGAAAGTGATGAAGTCATCCCTTGCTTGGTAAGTCTCCGATTCGTACGGTTATCCCATATATGAATAGGGGATAGATCTATGGTGTTACTAAGATAATTGATCTAATACTAATCACTAGATATAGAATAGGTTATAACCATTGTAATCCCATTTGTTACTTGAATTACTTGGCTAGTCTAAGTGGAATGGTCCTCCAAGTAGTTATAAGATGATTGATTTACTTGCATCAATCCAATCCATCGCCCTTGGAACTTCCAACATGTTGCCCCACTGATCTTGGGGGGCAGTGTAGCAGATATACATATACATGTACATAATGGGTGCCAAGTATACATAATATGTACATAAATGAATATATATATATATAGAGAGGGAGACAAATAAATATATAGATAAATAGATAATCCCTTCTTCCTAATTCCAAATTTGGCCCCCCCACCCTGAATAATAAACACTTGCAGTAGTTTTTTGTTTAGGGGGTATTGAGTATTAGGGTGCGACGCTTCCCACTAATATTAAATTAAAATCTTTAATGCAAAAACAGAATTGTTTATTTGAAAATTGATTAATTAAATTTCCTTTTAAGACCTAATTAGAATATTGCCAAAAAAGTGATTTCGATGCTTCCCCCTAATATTGAATTCAACACCTTAATTTAAAAAAAAGCTCAATTTCAAAATCGATTAGATTTCGTTTAAAACCTAATTGAAACACTGCCAAAAAAAAAGATTTCGAAGCTTTCCTCTAATAGTGCATTAAAAACCTTAATAAACAACTATGTTTTCTTTTTCAATATCGATTAAATGTCCTTTTAAAACCTAATTACAATATTGCCAAACATTTGATTTCGAAGGTGTCCCCAAATATTAAATTAAACACCTTAATATATTAATTACTTTGTTTTCGATCTTAAAAGACAGACCCTAATAAGAAACACCCCGGGGTTGATTAGTTTTTATTACTAAGGGGTGAAACCCACAAATGGGCCCTTCATTTCTAAATTGTGTTTTAAAGGGAATAAATTAAGAATCAAATTGGCCAGCCCCGAAATTTAACGCGGGCCCTAGTTTTTAGATTTTGTTTGGTGGGGTTTAGTAGTAGGAAGAAGGGATTAGATAGATGAATAGATAGATAGGTAGGTAGGTAGATAGATAGATAGACGGTTGATAGATAGACGGTTGATAGTAATTAGTTATCCCCCAAGTAGCGATCCACCAAAGGGCCAGGATTGCGTTCAAGTGGGACATGGTGTGCCCTGATGAATGCCATCCCCCCACCAAGGCTGGGTTAACCTTGGATAGTTTGCCTGTGTTTAAGCTGGTTATTATTATTGTTTATTTTCCACCATGTGGGGAATCTATGTATATATATATATACATAATTATACAATTATATATATATATATTATGTATTTATTTATATATGTGATATGGTTGGGCCATCTGAAGCAAATCCAAGTTTTGTACATCACGAAAAACATCCAGCCGTGCCTGCTTTTGAAATCCGAGTCTAGGGGATTCACAGAAGGGGATGCACTGACGCTTCACCAATCTTACCCTCTGGTTATGTGGGCTACCACCAAAAAGGTCTATGTAAGGGATATGTATTGGAATGGAATAAAGCTCAAAACCTGCAAAAACGAAGGAAACATAGATATTCCATTTTGGGGCAAAAACAAGTTTTGGAGGTAGCTCATGTCAAAATAACTATGGAAAGATCCACCATAGAAATAGTGGATTTACCCAGCTACAACATGGTGGATCGTTCCATTGTTGTTTGTATGTTTACCAGAGGGTAACCATTATGAATCATGATGAATCATAATGAATCATCAACCATTCCTGACCCTTTATTCGATTCAAATTAAAAGCATCTTTTGTTTTTTCCGGTGTTCAGACTTTTCTGTTAAATCAATCCATTGAACCATTCACCATGTTTGGAACACCAAAAAGAAATACGGGCCACAGCGACAGACCTCCAAAAAACCTCCCAGGTCTTGAGAGATGGAGGCGCCGGCGCCCTCTGGTTGGATGCTTCACCGGATTGTGCCCAAAATGGCCACATTTTTTAGTGAGTTTTCCCATGGAGAAAAATGGTGGATCTTTCCAGTTCGTTCTACAACAGTTGACCATTTCGGGTATATACCTATTAAACCCATATGATAGTTGATTTTCCCAGCTATAAACCTCCATTTTCATGAGCCTAAATTCCATCTAAATCCCCATTGGAATTTTGTTGGTCATTGAACTCGCCATTTTTTATACTTTGCGGCCTGTCGGCCGGCCATGGCCCATTTACCTAACGGATGACCTGTTGAATAAAGACCTGATTGGGTAGGACTCCGATCATCCCAGAACGCCAGTAATCAAGGCCATTTATATCCATTTATCAGTTATAAGTACTAACAAGTCACCCCATTTATAGAATGTATTTCATCCCATAGAAATAACCAGTTCTAACTGGTAGCCATGGCACTGCAGTCATCAAACATGGCGGGCGGCTCCCCGACCTCGCCATGATTTCCGAGACGGGTCAGTTTTAAAGACATAGAGGTAGAATATCATTAATCACCATTAATTATCATTAATTATCATTAACCATTGATGTATCTTCACCATGAATGGTATCATCATTAATCACCATTCATCATCAATGGTATCTATCTACAACAGGTCGGCTTCGGGTGCAGTTTGAAGCTTCTTTCGTTTTTTTCAGATCGCGGAGCTAGCTGGAGAATCAGGATGGTCAATGTTTGGTCATTTTGGTTACCCTCTGGTAAACTGTTACATAGCTATGGAAAATCACCATGTTTAATGGGAAAATCCACTGTAAATGGTCATTTTCAATCGCTATGTTAAATTACCAGAGGGTATCGACCTCTTACCAACTGACGGATGGTCATCCAAATACCCATGACGGATCCATGGTGCTGGTAGAAAAATGCTAACATAAAGGTTTTTTTTGTTGATGGGATCCATGGCACACCATATATAGCAGCACCATGGATCATATGGGATACTGGCTGTATGGCTGTGTCTCTGCAGTAGATCCGAAGTTATGGCCTTCCTTTGGGAGAAATGTATGACAGACCCTGGAATGGGGTTCCCTAGTTGAGACAAACCCATGCTTGAGATTTTGAGACATTTTGTTCAATCCTTTGGTCTTAAAATTGCCATGTGGGGCACATACTCAAATTTCAGACAAACTCCAAGCATCATTTTGTTTGTTGTATTCCATTAGATCTCCCAGTGTATCCCATTAGGATGGTTGATTTAGTCTTCTTGTGATAGGAAAACGCAATAAAATCCCGTACTTTTATGGATTGCAGATAGACCATGATCATGATCTATACGGAAAGATGATACTTTTGGGGGTATAATGATGATCCCCATACCATGATCATATGATCACCATTCCCTACACGTACTTTTGGACGCGGTATGTACTGATTGACCCATACCTCTCATAGGTTTGGTGATGCCGTGGCAGGCGACAAGATCTTTTTGTGAAGCTGGCAGCGCTGGCAGATCGATTTCAGCTTTCTTATGAGTAGAGTGACAGAACAGCAAGAGCTAAGAAACACCTCGGATGCAGAGAGAGACTTTGTGGTTCAGAACAACATTCGATTAAAATTAGTCATCAGTTGATTATTCAAACGTATTAAAAACAGTGTTTCAAAAATAACAAAAGACACTTGATTAATTCACATTAATTCAACATTTGATCAAATATACGGTTTTGCGACCTCAGTTGTATTGAGGTACTTTCAACTAGTCGACTTAGTCAGCAAGTTGCATGGTTTTAGGCTCAAAAAATACCCATTTTATCGGACTCATTGCTTGGGTCAGGAGATTCTCCCAATAATTGCTGGTTGGTGGTTTGGAGCATTTTTCATGACTTTCCATTCAGTTGGGAATGTCATCATCCCAACTGACGAACTCAGATTTTTGAGAGGGGTTGGTTGAAACCACCAACCAGTAAAGTATTGTTTGTGAATTATACGAATGATCGTGTGTGTTTGCCCCTGATCATAATGGATATCCCATTAAAAATATGTGTTTAGTATTGGATCCATTCATGAGTTCGGGGGTCCCAGTGAATTTGTCGATTGGGGGTATTTCGTATGATGGTTCTGGGGATGATTTTAAAAAAGGCGCCATGCCTG